TATTTTTAAATTCTAATTTAAACACTAATAATTAGACACTAACTTAATTAAAATACTTAAATTCACCTAAATCCTAAACACTAAACACATTATAATTTTAATTCGGTTTTAAATTTTTTTAACTCAATTTGACACGAGACCCTATTCTAATTTAATTAAAAAATTTATAAGTTATTCATGTTATATTACACATTAAATCTGAACTTATTAATTACATGTGTAAAAATAGTTGAAATTACATTCAAAAAATATTTTATAAAGTTAAAAAAATCAAAATAAAAAAATAAAATTAAAAAAAGAAGAAAAGAGCACTGAGCAGGCGCATTCAGCGCGTGCCTGTCAGGTAGCACCGGATGCTCAGTATAATTTGCCAAATAATAAAACGATTATTAATCTAAAGTATGGTGTATATATGTACCCATACATAACAAAACTGCATAAAATATACAAACTGCGTCATACACTAGATATCATCTTTCAAAAAAAAAAAAAAAACACTAGATATCATTGTTTCCTTTGTACTAAACTAACTACTAACACTAGATATCGTATGATGTCTAATTAAGAAAAATTATTCATCTTATTAAAAATAAAAAGTTGATTTGCGGGGAGTATTTCACCCTCAAACTCTTGGGAGTCCTCGGCGTTGGAACTTGGGAATGAATAAACAGAGGAAGATACAGGGTCCAAGAGAAGGGATATGATAGTTTTAATAATCGCTGCTCTAAACTTTAAGTCGTTTGGGGAAATGGGAATTTATTCTGCTGCAGTACAGGATGCAATCCGCACGTGTGTCTCCTTTTCACCATTCTCCAACACGTGATAAGCGCTGGCCCGTTTGCCGTTTGAGTTGCATCCCCAATACTGTCTGTTATAAATCCAAAAAATAAAATTGTAAGAAATGAGATCATCGTACAGTAAGGATCGGGGAAAAACTGGAACAGATAAAGAAGATGGTTATAAGTTCTAACCAAAAGGAAGGACTCCTCCACCTTAGTCAAGTCCTATGTCGATGGTTCCTGACAAATTATAGAAAATAGATGCACTTATTGGTGTTCACGAGTCAATAAATGAATTAATCTATGTGTTACATAAAAAAAAAAATTATTACGAAATTCAAAACTTAATATGAATTATTATTTTTGAAATATTTAGATGAAAAAAAAAAGATAGTTCGTGTTTTTGTTAAGCGGATTAGATGTAGATGTGATACGAGATCGAAACGCTGACACGTGTCTTGTTGTAACGGTTACAAAGTGTTGCTGTCTCTCTCTTTTGCGTGGTGTTCCCTTTCAGCGCTACTTTTTCCTTTTTTTTTTTTTTGGGTTTAATTTTCTTTCATTTTTTTTCTAGTCTGTTTCTTTTTCTTCCCCAACAAAGCAGTTTTGGTTATTGTTCGTTCATTCATGTATATATATGTGGATGATGATGAACGACAATTGGATGGGTAGCACGTTTCTTTCTCGGTACAAAATTTTTATGTGGTGGTTGCGGGTCAGTTCAGATTCGGAGCTTATCCCCCCAAAGTTGTTCAGTTTCATTCAAATCATTAAACTAATCATCACTAATAGCCATTCTGTTATATGACAAAGTATATGTGGATGTTATAATGGTACAAGCGCCTTCCTGGTTGTTTAGGCCTTGTTTGTTTGTCATTTCATTTTACTTTTTGTCTTATTTTACCTCTTAAACACAAATCTCAATACATTATTCAAATATCAATTTAATTTACCTTTTAAACTATTATAAATTTTAATATCGATGGTCATTAAACTATTTTAAAGTTTTAAGTTTAGTCACTAAACTATTGTAAAGTTTAGTGGCGGTGGTCACTAAACTATTGTAAAGTTTTAAGTCTGGTCACTATAGTATCCCACTTTCAAAAAATAGTCACTATACTATAATACTTTCCAAAAATTGTCACTAAACTACATTTTAAATCTCCTCCCAAATCCAAATGAAAAACTAAAACAAAATGTTGTCCAAACATCAACTTAATTTGTCTTCTTGGAGTATTGGACATGTTAAACCGAAAAAGATAAAAAATAGAATTCCCCAAAATCGGAGAATGTTTCCGAGCGGTGGTTGTTTAGGTAGAAAAATTACAACTTCTGGATGGAAAAAAAAAGAGAGACATATTTCTATTCAATCTGATCGATTGAATTGATGTCCTTTGTGCGCTAATTTGATGGAAAATTGGGATTTCGACGGTCACATTATAGTGTTAAAAAACCTAGCCGACAAATCTTGTGTCGATCTCAGAAGTTGTGGTGAATTCAGCTGATTAGAAGATAGTAAGGCCACTGTTCTTCCATCGATAATTACCCGTTTAGTACTACATCTTTACGTGTTGGAGATGTAAAAACACACACAACGAAGCATTGCAATATAAAGCCATAAGGTTTGGGGCTTTGAAGTTTTTTGAAAGTCCAACAAGAAGAGCCACGCAACTTGTTTGGTTAGTTCATCGTGTTTTGTACTACTAAGATTAGATAAGTTCATGAAAATCGAAACTGGTCCTAGCCAAAATCACACTCAATATGAAGGAATGGACCTAGCAAAAAAGATGACCCTGCTGTACTTTGATGAGTATCTTCAACTGGTGTTACTAATGTATTGACAGCTAATGTGGGAGAACTTGCCCAGGTAAATGAAAGCTTCCACTCCCTTAGCTGGTTAATCCAACGCGTCCATGCATACAGTCGTAAGTTGTAATGGGAAAAAAAAAAAGAAAAAGAGATGATAATAATAAAAAAGCAACAAGTTGCTCCGTAACAGTGAATCATGACAAAATTGAATAGTTAGTCACCTTATTTAGGTTTCTTCTGGACTTGGATTATCCAGTTCCACAATTCGAGGATACCGATCTCCAAATTAAAGCAACTTAAACAGCTTGATTCAATACTATATAATTACTATATTTCATTCTGTTTCACTATAATAATCTTCTTTATTGTATCATCCTATTTTAATCTCGTAAATTAAATTGACAACTGAAGAGGTCAAAAGGAGTATGTAGATTTGAGTGAATATTTTGAAGCCAGAATTCAAACATCTGTGTTCATCAACTCAATTGAAAAACACATTGGAGTTCCGTTTCCAAAAAAGGTAAACAAATTGAGTAATGTATGGGAGAAAATGGAGTTCATATACTTCTGGTGAAAAGTAAGAACTACTACCATTTACCCCCCCCCCGGTCCCCGTAAATGAAGAAATTTTAATGCTCGCAGAAGAGAAATCAGAGGTTACAGAAGTAGGAAGTTGTTAATTGAGGACGAGAATGGGTATAGTTTAATGGAAGAAGGAATAATAACAGTACTGTACCATAGAGTTTTAGAGCTATTATAGTAAGCAGCAGGAACAGCAATACTCCAATCCCAGAAGCATCGGCCATTAATTATTATAGCCCAAAAAAAGAAGAAGAAAAGAAAAGGATTAGGTAGTAGGTACGACGTACGACCAAAAGACCCAAAGCTGATGAAGTAACTCCCTCCTCCCAGATACGAATCTCTTCGTCACTTCATTTACATTTCCCTTTCCAATTTAATACACTACCTTTAACCGTGGAGTATTTGGGACACTATTCTCCGTTATCTCTCTGTCACACGCGCGCGCACACACACACACACTAACGGAATTAATTTTAATTTTTTAAAATAATCTCGTTAATCTAAAAGGCTACTATAATTTAATTAATTAACACTACTACTAATAAGGAAGGTGAGACGAAAGAGAGGAGCCCCAAAGGGGGCATAGGGAAGCGTGTACACAAGCGTGGGACTGGGGGGGATTACCTGCATCCGTACAGGTGAGACAGAGAGAGAGGGGGGTGACGCTACAGCAGAAAGCGTGGTTAGTTTTGTTTGTTTTGTTTTGAAATCGGGAAATTGTATTTTGGTGTACAGTTGACCGTCTGACCGGCTACAGCCGGGTGGATGACAGACAGTGGGTTGGTTGAGTGTGAACAAGGATTTCCTTCCTCCCCTTCTTTCTCTCTTTCTCTTTCTTTAGTGGGAAGCCGTTACTCTTTCCTTCCCCCAAAATATTCATCCAAACAATTAAAAAAACAAAAAAGAAAGATAAAAAATATATATTAATAAAAGAAAAAGTTTACAGCCTGGACTGACAGGATAGCAGTAATGATTCGCCCTCCGATTAGGAGACCAATCTTGTCGTTTTCCTCCAGCTCAGCGGCTCCGTGCGGCCGTTTTGGATTTCCCTCCACCTTCTTTTTTTTTTAATTTCTTTTCTTTTAAACTGAAAAAGGAAAAACAAAAAGGATATATATATATATATATAGAAAAAGGATAAAAAAATGAATAATAATAATAATAATATCGTTAACAATATCCTCCTCCACCCACACGAAAAGCAAAATGCTGGCCAGGCTGGCCTCTTTTTCTCTCTCTTTTGTTTTTGGTTTCAGTCAAAGCTGATCGGCTCCCTCTTCCTTTTTCTCTTTCTTCAACCGTTACTCTCTCAATTATTAGTCCTCCCAGTTGTTACCAAATAGTAGTAGTATTAACATTAGTGTACTAACAAAACAGCATTAACAAACTAAGGAGTACAATTTTGTACTATTATTATTACTTAATTAATCATATTATTTCGGCTTAATTATGGTCTTCCTCCTCCTTCCCTTACTCTTTTGGCTTTTCTTTCTTTTGTTCTATTGAATTTTCACGATTTCGGTTGGAGGCTCCCCCACCACTAACCCCACATTTCACGAAACTGTCCAACTGAATATGGTAATCCAACTGTATTATCTCTTTTTTTTTAAAAAAATTCAATTCCATTTAATTTCGTACTTCTAACTCAATTAATGTCTACTACTATTACAAATTCTACGAATTCGTACGATTTCATTTTTCCTTAGCTCTTTAATCCTCGAAATTAATTCATAGGAGTATTTGGATGGAAAAAGAAAAAAAAAAGGCCAAAAAAGAAAATAAAGAGAAAGAGGAGAGTACTAGTATTATTATAACTAAAAACTAGTAGTAGTTACGTAACAGTGAGGAAGAGGGAATTGAAATGATGTGTAAATCAGTGCAAGAAGGATGTGACGCGTGTCCGTTAGCCAGCTGTATCCCAAAATCCTCTTCCCTTTTTTCCCCTCTCTCTCTCAAACAAATATATTCAACCGCTTGCCTCGAAATAGCGGTGCCCATAACGCCCACCATAACCTCCCTTTTCCCGTTTCTCACCGGTCAAACCGGTTGCCATTTCGTCCCTATCTCTTCTTCCTCACGAATCTCTCATTTCTTTTCATTTTTCATTTTTTTTTTATTTTTTTATTTTAGTACTACTACTAATAACTCCTTTCGTTTTGAGTCTTCTCCTTCCCATTGCCATATATAAACCCCATTCCCCATCCTATTCCTTTCTGTCTCTCTCTTTATTACCCACAAAAAAAACTGCCTCTTCTTTCTTCAACTCACAATTTTCACATTCTTCCCCTCAAATTTATCAATTCCTCATCATCTCAGACCGATTTCAGTTCTTTTTGTTGAATGTTTGTATTTTTCTGAATCAATGGCCAATACAATTACAAGTAGTTCAATGAGAAGGGATTCCGATCGGATTAAAGGACCCTGGAGCCCCGAAGAGGATGACCTGTTGCAGCAACTGGTTCAGAAACACGGTCCCAGAAACTGGTCTTTGATTAGTAAATCTATCCCGGGGAGATCCGGCAAGTCTTGCCGGTTGCGGTGGTGTAACCAGCTCTCTCCTCAAGTGGAGCACAGAGCTTTTACCGCCGAGGAGGATGAGACCATCATCCGGGCTCATGCTCGGTTTGGGAACAAATGGGCTACCATCGCCCGATTACTCTCCGGCAGGACGGATAACGCTATTAAAAACCATTGGAACTCTACTCTTAAGAGGAAGTGCTCTTCCATTAGCTCTTCCGACGAAGGTAACGATTTTTGTAACGATTTCCCTGATCAGCAACCCCTCAAGAGAACCGCCAGCACTGGGTCTGCCGGTGGCGGCCGGGGTTTCAATCCCGGTAGCCCATCTGGGTCGGACGTTAGCGATTCCAGCCTGAATAATATGGGTTCTTCTCATATCTTTAAGCCCGTTGCCCGTACTTGCCACCTTATTCCTCCTCAGCATGATACAATGATGTCCGATGAAAGCAACGGTCCTGCGACTTCATTAAGCCTCTCTCTTCCCGGAATCGATACGGCGGAGGTTCCCGTCCGGGCAGCATCTGAGCCTCCCCAGCCCAAGAACCCGATTCAACTTCTTCCTCCGGCACCGCCAGTAGAACAGTCTCCGGCCAGCCATCTCAACATCTCGAACGAACCAGCTATTGGACCGCCTTCCCCTGCATCTCCACAGCAGGATAAGGTTTTTGTACCATTCACCGGGGAGTTATTGGCAGTGATGCAGGAGATGATAAGGAACGAAGTGAGGAGCTATATGATGGGTATGGAAAATCATCAGCGACAGCAGCAAATGACTCAACATATTCCTCAGCAGCCGATGATGATGATGATGCCTGGTGGGATCGGAATGGGAATGTGTTATCAGCAGGCTTCAGTTACGGCCAATGATAATGGATTCAGGAATGCTGCTATGAAGCGCGTGGGAGTCAACAAGATCGAGTGAGAAGAGTTTTTTGAGGATTAGATTGGACATTGAGAGAATTAGAGATGCGGGAAACTAAAATATGTTGAAGAAAGAAACAATCTTTGTTTCAGTTTCTCTATCTCGATGATGATCGGCCGGAAAAACTAGAGCCAACGGTGAACTTTGGCCGGCGTTTTTTTTTACCTTTTGTTTCATGTAAATACTAGTAAGATAAAAAAAAAGAAAAAAAGAAAAAGAGAAGCGGTTAAAAATGGCAGAAGTTGTAGAGGCGGCCGTTAGAATCGGCCATTTAGCTAAATCTGGGAAAAAAAGGGGTCGATTTTGAATTCGAAACAGAATAGAGTTAGTAGTTCCAAAATTTCCCGGAGGTTAAAAAAATGGAAAATCAGATTTCCCGTTTTATCTTTTCACTGTTTTATAAAAATTTGCCCCGCAGCTCACAAGGAAAACAATTGAAAAATGATGAGACGAATGCAAAGAAATTTTCCAGTAAAAAGATGAAATAATCCCAATCTGCGCTTGTCTTGTGTGTTTATATAATTGTTAGTTTAAAAAATAAAAATGAATTAAGTTAAAAAAAAAAGTGGAATAGGGAAAATCATACCAATGTGAAGAATATGAGAAAAATGCAAATTTAAATTTAAAAGTAATATATAAGTGGCCCGGAAATCAGGAAAGAATAATAAGGGGAACTGAAAGCGAGACTGTGAAAAAGGGTATAGACTGTATTGGGGACTGGGGGTGATTTGTCGTTTTCTGCGCAACTCTATTATGATGATTTGCTTTGGTGTGGGTTTCAAAGATTACAGCTGTGTTTTGGTTCTATCCACGATGATGTCAATGCTTTTAATTTTACTGCTCTGATTACTGAATATGACTGCCCCATTTGTCACCCCCCGTTTTCAATTTACACTTTTGGAACCGGTAAATCATATACCCTTGCCAGCTTTCTTCACTCCTTTTATTAAACATTTTTATACTATTATCGTATGATGTCAAGTGTTTTTTTAATTATTATTTTTATTGGTATACATCACTGTGGATGTAAATATAAATTGTTGATTATTCAGTTTTTGTAACAAATATTATGAAACGTGACAGGAGATGATGTGTTACAGGAAGTGATACACAATATTTCTGGTTTGTTTTAATTGGTCTGATTTTGTTAAAACATTAGCAATGAAAAAGGACCCTAAAGAAATGTTTTAACAAATTGTGGAAATATGCAAATATTACACGTTAGATGTAGAAGAAGAAGAAGATTTTTCCTAGTGTGGTACCGGATTTTGGAATTGGGGGGACAGCTGCTGCATAATCGGATTCTGGATGATGATGATGATGATCCACAGTACACTGCATCAAGATATGGAATGATGGTAACCCGTAACCGAATTTTTATGAATGAAAAGCTCCAAATTATGAGGGATCAATGGGCGTACTGGGTTTGTGTGTACAGTTTTCGCATTTCTGACTCCCCCTATTTAATTTACTCCTCAAGATTGGTGTTAAATAGGGTTACGTAAAATGGTATTAATCCCAGTACAAAAAACAACGCATTCATTTCTCCCTTTGAGAAATGAAGGATAGTCCTATTAATTCTCATTTCTTGTTAGTACCACTTTGATTAAATTCAAGTGGGGGCGGGCGCGTTGAGCGTAACTCTTAATCGACTAGTATTATTTTTCTAGGACGGAGTCAAAGTTATAGGATACAAATGTCATCTCAGGTAGTTGTTTTTTGGATGATAATTTGTGGAGGCGGGCTGAGGTGTAATGAGTTAACTGAATTTGGTTGTTAGGTTGAAGCTGACGATTGAGGTGTTTGTTGTTTGATGGAGGGGAGAATGGGAAATGAAGATTGTATGATACATAATAAGAAGAGGAGTTTAGAGACCAAAGTTTTTGTTACGTCCATAATCCGGACCACAAACGTTGAAAAAGTTTTAGTGACAAACTAACAAGTTGGAAACGTAACCGAATCCAACTGCATTTTGCATCCTTATCTTAGGCAAGATTTTAATTCCAACAACTTACTCGCTTGCTGCTCTTCAATATATCTTCATTGCCTTTTTTGTTTGTTTTGGATACATACAACAACGTATGGAGTACATACTCTGTTTTCTCTTTGAATCATCATCCATCCTCCTCCTCTCTGTTTCGTGTGAAGAAGTCACGTGTCAACGCGGAATCAGTGATCCCACCTTTGACACACTTGTTTTTAATTTTGCGTGATGTTAGATAAGTACTTCCTGCGTCCTGAAAATTATGGTCCAATTTCACGTTTTTTAGTTCAAATTGTACTAAAAGTAAAATCTCAAATTAGACAATAGTTTTGGGACGGAAAAAATACTTTAGTATGAAATGAATTGTGAAAATATTGGAGTAGTCAAAAGTGACAACGAAACACTATTGAATTTGGAATTGAAGATGATGCATTCCCTGAATGAGAGATTGAGTGGGGGAATCAAAGGAGATTTGGTATCGTGAATCTTAGATCTCATCCAATCAACTTTTTGTCAAATCTGATTTCTCTGTATGTATATAATGTTCACGAGGAAATTCACTTGCAGATTAAAGTCACAGGTGGAAACTACAGTGTTTAGTTGAAAAAGAACACGGTTTCTCTATATTACTCACAGAAACCTGAGATAAGCTTTAAACTTGAAGCTCTCCGATGTTTTGATACAACATCCAAAACTATGTCTCATTGTAACTGGATTGATACAACATCCATTTCAGTAAATCCAGGTTGAGAAGTCAAAGTGACTCCCAAAGACAGGACACGTACTTCAAATCTCACCTCTGGTTTGTAGCACTTTGTACTAATAATCGTCAAACTGCCGAAATTCTGTGATTGAAATTTTATAACCCGGAATAAGAAAAGTTGAAGCAAAATTGTAACTCTACGGAACTGATTTCAGGGTTGCGAGAGTTGTCTGAAACATTCTTTTTCAGTGAATCTAATTTTGCAGCTGATCTTTGGTCTCTGTGACGGGTGGCTAATCCTCTAGGGTTCCAACATTTGTTTGATGATCTACCAAATGTAATTGAACCGAGGTTGTCGAACCTACGGAAACTGTGTTGATTTTTTCCAGGCTTGAAATTAGTTGCAAAGAGACGCTTACCAGGCTAAAACTTCATAACCTTGAATACAAACACAAGGAAGATGTTTTCCTCCTGCACTATGTTCCGCAACTGCTATGTAGAGCCAACAAGTTCTGGCATTGGGCTTCAACCATATATGATTGCTACTTGCATAGTACTTAGTTAGAGCGAGACAACTTAATTTCATTATGATTTACTCGACATTAGCAGTTTTGAGGAAGTTAAACTAGGCAACATGACGACGCTGTGATGGATTAAATTCCGAGAACTATCTACATTTGGTAATAATGTCTTTGATACTTTGATGTTTTATGCTAATCTGATGGCCATCCGATTTATGTTCTCTCTTCTTGGAAGCTTTGATCGGGACTTTTTTCCCAATAACTTTCATCACACAACATTAAAGCGTCGCAACTGCTAATCTTACTCCTAGGTTGGAATCACTTACTATCTACAAATTCAACATTATGCATTTTGTAACCATTTGTAGCTTGTGTAAATACCTCCACAGGCTTTTAAACCAAGTAAGTTGAATACGATTAAAGGGTCTGGGAAATCAACTATGTCATATCGTAAAGATTAGGGATGATGATATACTGAAAAGTTTCTTCTGCACATAATGTTACAAATCTCATAGAATCAAAATAGATCTTCAACAACTTTAGTGGAATTTGAGGCTGGTGAGTACGTTGTTGTTTACAGGATCAGCCAAGTGATCCAGCAGGTTTTGGAAAGGTCCAACTCCAGTCACTAGACCTTGAATGAAGTAACCCAATACAGCCAACATAGCCAATCTTCCATTCTTAATCTCCTTCAACTTCAGTTCCTTCAGTGATTTCTCATCTTTCCCAAATCCAAGTGGGTTGAAGATGGGTCCACCAGGGTATGCTGGCTCCCCTGAGCCACCCAAGAACTTCTCCAGGCCAAGGAAGTATTGCTTTCCCATGGACCCTGGATTGTACCAGTCCTGGAATCTCCTGTGCTCGGCGAACCCCATGAGTGCCATCTCGAATACGAATAGGGTGTAGGGATCAGCCCAGTAACTGTATGTTCCAGCTGGAGGAATCACTCCGGTCTTGAACCAGGGAAGCGCGGTTTCTGGTGGAATTAGACCGGCTTTTCCAAGGATCTCAGGTGCAATGGCTCCTGCTGCTCCTAACATGGCAAATCTTCCATTGATTACTTCTCCATATGCTAGCCATTTTGGCTCAATAAAGCCTCCAGTACCCTCTGGGTCTGAGAGTCCCAATGGATCAAATCCATAATCACCAGGAAGACTGAAAACAACAACACCCTATGAGCTATATGATTCATTTCTTATTTGAGTATTTCTTCAGAAGTTTTTAAAAGGCTAAAGAACTTGATGGAAGTTTTGGAATTGGTACCTGCCATCCAAGTAAGAAAGACTCTGCTTGGAAGCAAACCAGAGCTGCCTGTCTGTTTGCTGAAAAAGTTACAAACCATTCCTCTGATCAGTTGATGTGCATTACTAGTGTAACTACAGATTGATCAAACTTTTCAAATTCTCCAAGAAAGTTGGAGAAAGAACATACCTTGGCAGGGGGTGTAGCTTCAGCCCTAACAATGAAGGAAACTCTCCTTGATGATGATGGCTGGATTGACTTTCCTCCAAGAATCTGCCTAGCAGCCTCTGCTGAAGCAGTTATAGATGATGATGAGACCAAAGCTTGTGCTGCCATTTTGGTTTAAGTTCTGGAGGTGTTGGTGGGAGTTTGAATAAGAAGAATAGCCACTCAAAGTTTAGAACTTTAGTATGAGTTAAACAGAAGGGTTGGGAATAAGGGCCAAATCCAGGCTACCACTAAAGATTTTTGTGGGCCTTGTGAAGGAATGTAAATTGTGGTTGGCATGAAGAGCCTGTAGTTTTGTGATAAAATTGGGATCTTGTTGTCAAATAAAATAGTCCCAAGTGGCAGAGATATTGGGGTGATCATCTGCAACATTTGGATAAGAGATTTTAATGGCTTGGTGGAGGTAGTGAATCAAAGATCTCCTCTGCCACATGGACATATTGGGTTGATCATCTGTAATTTTTGGTGGCTGAGATATCCGAGATAGGTGAGCATATAAGAATTGTTTTTCTGGAAGCACAAACTTGTAAAAAACCTTGACAAAAGAAAATAAATGACACTTTTTAAACTGACAATCATTTCAATGTAAAGGACTCTATGTTGAGGCAACCATTTTACTCAAGAAACAAGATTTCCAACATAATTTGAAACAAGAACAGTGACTTTAGAGGTTGGGACATAATTAGGTCAGTTTATGATATCATATCATTCACTAAATCGCGTATAATCACCAATATTAGTGGGGAACAGAACTACACTATTAAGGGAAGTGTCAAAGTAACCAACACCACTATTGCACTCTGAATTTGCAATTTTAGTGCGGTTTACAAGATACGAGTTCTGAGTATTAGACACAGAAGAAGAATTTTTTCCCCGTGAAGATTAGATTCATCAATCAAATTTTGTCAAATCTAATTTCTGTACAATGTTCACTAGAAACTATTTTATGCATAAATTTACAGGTGGATACTAAAGTACCCTTTTATCCTATACATAGGTGGAAAAGAATATAGTTCCTTCGTAAATCTCAAAAATTTGAGTGCTACACTTAAATTTGACTGACATTAGTTTATCATGATGCTGCCAGCTGAGATGTGTTATGCCTTTGATTGGTGCTTAGACTTCTTAAGAACATGAATGCCGATCTCAATCTGTCAACAAACTCTTGAATGTCATCTCTCCATGACCAAGTCGGAGGATTCAGTGCGCGGATTGAATTAAGGCAAACAAGAAGGGTGCCACCCTCATGCAGTAGCACCTGCAGTAAAACAACACAAAGGAGAAAATCAGCTCCTACTATATCAACTTTGATGATAACGTTGATCAAAACATTGTTACTAATACAATTGTGTTCTTTTAGTAATTCATTCAGATTCTTCATCACATCTTAGATTGAATAGTTTTAATACGAATTCAGATTGCTGATTCGTACCGTTAACCACAGAGGTAAAAAACCCAAAACTGATGTAAGAGAGGCCACCAGAATGCTAGACAAAGCCAGGGCAACGTTTTGCTTGACCTGAAAGAAGTCAGTGATCAATGCCAATGGATGGAGGCAGATTTAAAACCCAAAAAACATGATATTGAAAAAATATAAAGGAAAATTTACCAAGGAAGTAGTTTGTCGTGATTTAGCTACACAAAATGGGACACCGGAGATATTGTCCTGCAGTAAAAGCACATCTGCGACACCAATAGCAGCTGCACTAGCACGATCAGCTAGCACAATACCCACGGTGGCAGCAGCCAGGGCAGGTGCATCATTGATACCATCACCAACCATTACAAGCCCGCCTCCTGTGGGAAAGGCACTATTAGATACTACCCCTGATTGCAATGAGTCAGTAGAAAAAACATATAAAAAGTACACCAACTTGAGCCTATAAGAAGGGGGCAAAAGGACCCTACATGCTAGGAGTATCAGAAGATTTCAAGGTAGAGTTCGTTCGAAGTTAAAATTAATGCTAGAGGAAAGAAAAAAAAGTTTCCTCCTTGGTCATAACAGACAGCAGCCTTATCCCGTAGTGGTTCAGCTATATGGATCAAAAACATGGTCGGTTGATACACATTTTTGTTCAAATTGAAATATTTCATGTCATTTTTCAAAGCTTCTTTCCAAGTCTTTTTAGCCTCCATTTTGAGTTAGTGATTCTATGGATTCTTCCCAGAACAGATAATATCCTTGTGACTAGATTCATACAAGATGGTTTCTTTTTTCAGACACCACAAATCAGTATTAAGTATATCCTTGTGACAAGAATCATACAAGATTCATTTCATTGAAGGTATTTCCAGTTTTCCTCTCCCAATAAAAGTAGCATTCTCATATGACCACCAGTGATATAAAAGAAAGAGCCACTACTCAAACACTGATATATCAAAGTAACTCAAAAGCTCATAAATGTTACTAAAGAGAGTTCTCAGAAGCAATTCATAGCATGACACTTTGGGAAACAAGTGCTGGAAGAGGACCATAGAAATTCATAAATGTTACTAAAGAGGGTTCTCAGAAGCAATTCATAGCATGGCACTATAGGAAACAAGAGCTGGAAGAGGACCACAGAAATTACTGAAATATCTCACCTGTATTTCTAGGAATGTTTGTCACATGATATAACTTGTCCTCGGGCTTTAAATTGCTATGTACCTCATTGATACCCACAGCATTGGCCACTCTCCAGGCACTCGATTTGTGGTCACCAGTTAACATCATCACACGCATCTTTGCTTGATCTTTCAATACCCGAATAACATCTAAAGCTCCAGGACGCGGCTTATCCTCAAAATGAAAAAGGGTCACCTGTAAAAGTCCAAAAATTCTAAGAGTTGGCATCAACTGAAAAGAGTTCAGTCAAGAAAACACAATTCTTGAATACGTCTGATCCGTATTACTATCCTGATTCTTAGCTAATAAGGAAGTTCCAATCTCTTTTGCACCAATTGAACTCTTTACATTTCTGGTAATCATATATGAACAAGACATCACTTATCACTTCTCCATTGTCACAGTTAAAAAAGAACTTTCTAAATCGATATGTAGAAGCTGATTCAATCGATACCTAAAAGCCAACATGATACACATAGATCCAGCTTCACAATCATGCGAAGTAAATGAGTTCACCTTCTTATTGTTAACGGAGAGAGCAGCTCGAACAAAGTCGCCTTCATAAGTAGAAGCACTCGCAGCCTCCTTAATTCTGCTCGATTCGTCATCCGAGTTAAATAGTGAAGCAATGTATTCCACAGAACCGATTGAAGCTTTCAATGGTTTACCGCCTCCAAGTCCTGGCTATAAAAGATAACAACTTCATGTCTAGCGAATAAATTTATATGCTTCAACAGAGCAGCCACAAAAATGATAGCAAGCATTTTCTGACTGATTCATCATGTAGAATTAACAGAATTGCTACACAAAATAATATAACTTAGAATACTTTTGAGCAATGAGAATTTTCATGCTGCACCTTCAGAAATTCTTATATGCTTCGAATTATTTAATTAATTAAAAGGTTGTTACATTAAATAAAATCTAGGAAAAAGGAGGAATTTCAGTATGCAAACATTAACAATAACTATTTCAGAATGCAAATGAATCTAGAATACTGAACCAGAATCACAGACAGGCAACTGAAAGCACATGCTGATATAGAATATTACCTCCAGACTTGACAGCGTCGCAAATAGACCCCTACCAGGCAGATTCTCAAAACTTTCCACTGAAACAGAAGGAAGATCTTGTCCTGTACTATGATCAACAACCGCTCTGCAGAAGAAACATTTATGATCAAACTTCTGGTATTGGGCGTTAACAAAACTTTTTATCTTGGATACATAACCTAAAGCACGATGACCTAATTCTGTTTGATGCACTAGAGATTGGATGTTTTCAGGTTACTAATATAGTCATTGTGGCCCAAGGCGAGTTCTGAAGTAACACATAGTAGTGTAAAAAAAAAAGAGTAAACTTATCATACAGCATTTCAACAACAACGCAGCGATAAACACAAAAATATAACTAATTAACCTAACCTTCCAATCGGATGAGTGGTGCCCTTCTCCATAGCAGCAGCTACAGCAAGGGCTTCTTTTTCACAGTTAGGGACACAACATGAAGCAAATTGTTTTTCATCATTACTCAGATGTCCATGTATGGGTTCAATTGCTTTACACGTGAACTCTCCAGTTGTCAAGGTACCAGTTTTGTCGAATGCAATGGTGTGGCAAGAAGCTAGAGCATCAAAAACATGTCCACCTTTGAGCAATATTCCCTGTGTGACACATACAATATTACAAAGTCAGAGTTTCTAATAAGATATTACAATTCAAGAGAGAACATAGCCATTTTGGTGCAGAGACTAATTCCTCTTAAAGTTGTCATTACCAGTATACAAAGAAAGAAATCCTAATATATTAGCAAGCAAAGGAAAGATACGAGAAATAATTTACTAGAAATCATGAAAAGCAGCGGGGACAACTTTGACTTACCTTTCTAGCACATGCACTAATAGCTGTAGCATAAGCAAGAGGTGCTACAGCTAATGCACATGGTGATGCAGCCACCATAAGACCCAGAGCCCTATAAATGGATCCTCTGCAAGCTACACAGAAAATACAATTACACTGATTAGACACATAGACAGGCCCAATGTTTGATGGACATTGCCCACACAAAGAGATACAGTGAGAAAGGTATGTACTCAGGCTGGTTTGACAAAATTCACTTGATATCAATGATAGCAAACATTTCAAATCACACAGATGGCAACAATTACCTGAAGTGCTAAAAAATGGCCACTTGAAAAGAAACGGCCCAAGGAGCGCAACTGTCAGAGACAAGAACACAACTGCTTTACTATAGACCTCTCCAAACTTATCCAGCCACCTTTGGAGCCTAGGTTTGCTTAGCTGAGCTTCTTCAGTCAATTGGACGATCCTGTTTAGCATAGATTCCTTCCATGTTTTCTTCGCCTAAACCAGAGTCGAACATAAAAGGATTAGAATGAGATATCGAACCAGAATACTATGGACACTTAAACTCCTCAGAAGTACTCACAGACTAAAATTTTGAAAACAACATAATTCTTTCATTACAATTATGGCACAGGACCTCGTTCGAAAGGCATCGGAAATGCATAAATGGTAGGTGAAGAAGTTGCTAAGTTCATAATCAACTAATGAAATTGGAGAAATCAAAGAACTTTATGAATGCTTCGGAATAGAAAATTCTACTTTTTTAGAAATTTGCTTATCATAGATCAGGATTCCGATTTCCAAACTCATGCTACAGATATTCAAGTCTCTAAAGTTGACAAACTAAAACAGTTGCAGAATAAAAGTAATCAGAGGAAATGCTGGAAGGCTTCATCCAAATCTCTCCCATGCATGATTATCTGATGTCATGATTGACACTAGAACAATCCATCGGTCGTATGGCTATGTTCAGCTAAATGTACCAAAGGCTGATCAAATGCCAAAATCCATTCAAACAGTTTGAGCACATTTCTGTGCACGTCTCTTTCAAATAAGAGAAGAGCCAATGTTCAAATAGAAAGTACTTACTCTTAAAATCATCATTCCATCCAAATTCCTGGCTCCTCCAGGAATGCTGTCTCCAACGTCTCTTTCAATTGGCTTCACTTCCCCGGTCAAGTGCTCAGTCGTAATCGTTGATCTACCTTGAAAGACTTCACAATCCACTGGAACAGACTGTTTACAACACCAACTAGCATGATGAGAGAGTCTGAGTAACTTATGCTTCATAAAAGAACAACAACGATGGTTTAAATATTTCCTCCACATGATTTCTAGGAAACGGAGAATTCCAGTTCAGCAAAAATGACAAACTTATAGAACCTAAAAGATCTTCTGTTGATTGATGCAAATAGTAGAAAAACTCTGCCCAAATGGTGACACAGGTGCTAATAAACAACATATGCATACACAAATTTATCACATTTGAATAGTAGGGAACTCTTCCATGATTAAAGACTACAACCAGGCCAACCACTTAACATTTGAGGAATACATAAATAGAAAATGGCAAAAATCAGTAATCCTCAAAAACAAGTTAACGGTATTATCAAGTACGAACCTCACCAGCTTTGACCAATATGTATGAGCCAACTTCCAGATCATTTACTGGGACTTCTTTATAAGTCAAGTCTGAAAAACTTGGTTTCTTCCCATATTTTGTATCCAATACAAGAGCGAATTCTGGATAATTCTCTTTCAACTCCCTTACATCGATTTTTGACCGGCTGGTAAAATATTCCTCAGCTGCAAAAGGACATAAAGACAACCTAAATAAAAAGTTCAAAACCTAATAGATTTAAACTCTTGCAATGTTTAGAATGCTATAAGATACTTGCCTATATGAGCCAAATTAAACATTGCAAGCAGCAAGCCTCCTTCTAAGAAATTTCCCATGAAAACTGATGCAAAGGCTGCAAGAGCCATTAGCACGTGAATATTAATCTTTCCCCCGGCAATGTCCATGATAGCATCCAGTGATGCTGAGACCTGACATGGGGAATTTCTAAGATAACTAACATATAGCATGACAATAACAAGGTAATGCTCAACAGAAGTAAATGGTCAAACAAAACAACTGTTCATTAAGATTAATAAACAGAATCGGTAATACTCCCGGCATACATCATTGTTATTAGGTGCGGGAATTTTGCTTCCACCAAAAAGTATATGTAACAATCACTTGTTTCTATTTCCAGGGTTTATAAATAAAAAATATGTTCTAAAATAAAATGCGTAGGCATTTAACAGTACTAGATTGCTGGAATACTTAAAAGAAGGAAAACTCAGAAGGGCGAATTGAATATTACCCCAACAAGAGGAAAAGCAATGAGAGTGAGAACGTGCTGGAGGTGATAGGCAGCGGGCTTGGGAACCAAGTGAGGGCAAGCGGCGGCAGCAAGGAATAGAGCAGCAGAGCAGCAGCAGAGTTGCAAATGTTCCCTCAAGAAATTGGCCAAATTAGTCCACTTAATGGCCTTGGCGAAATTGAGAACCAGCTCCTGTGATTTGGTGAGCTGGTAATCAGTCCCGCCATCATCGTGACCGTGACCGCATCCATGGTGATGGTGATGGTGGTGGTGGTGATGATGATTATGGCTACTACTATCATGGCCGTGATGGTGGTGGAGGTCATGTGATTCATGGTGGTGGTGATTTGAGCCGGAGGAACTGGCGGTGCAATTGACCGGAGTGAGTAGAGTAAGTTTACGAACAGAGATAAGGGAAGAAGGTTTAAAGGAGGAGGAGGAGGGTAGGAATTGGGGTTTGAATTTGATACGCTTAGCAGAAGTGGTTTTGTGGATGGAAGATGGAGAGAAGATCAAATTAGTGAAATTGACTGTGGTATTACTTCGGAATTGAAGGGATTCCATGTTGAAAAATCGGAGAATCAACTCAATTTTGGAGGTGAAACTGATCTAATCAGGCAATTGATTTGATAAATGCTGCGTCGGGGAGACGAAGATGATCATTGCGGAGGAGACGACTTAGAAGCAGAGCAGCTGAATAATAAGAGCAAAAACTCAAAAAGAGTGTGTGCTGTGCGTGCTCGGGCCTGGGCGGGGGGGTTTGGTGGGGCTTTCTTCATTTTTGTTTGTTTGGTGGTGTTTTTTGGATTTTGACATCTCCACCACACAATGTGCTCATTCTGTCTTTCCCTCTTTATTCTCAAAATTTTTGTTAATTACCAAAGTTTTCAATTATTTGTATTCATTCCGTCCCAAAAATATTATCCAATTTTAAATTAAAAAGAAATTTAAATAAGACAATAATTTTTTCAAATCGGATAATAATTTTGAAACAGATGCGAGTACTTTGTATGGAGTTTTAAGGGGTGGAATTCGAACTCCTGATGTCCCAAGTGAAATAGTTACCAATTACCAAGTCTCCAGTCCATCAAACTGCAATTATTTGGTGAAATGTCAACATATTTGATTGCCATGTATCAGCACGCAAACGTTACCCATATTGCTATCCCTGCCAATTGCCATTTGAGGGCTAGACAACAACATGACCTCAGGCCAAGGGTCATTATGGAATGCGAACCAGATGAGTCGATATCAAGATTGATTTATGCACGCACAGCGCCCAAGAACCTACAACCAAAATGCCGAGGAAAGCTTTCGAATTCCACAGCGTTGATCAAATCCGAAAGAAAACAGAGGGGGAGCAATGGAACAAGATTTCAGCAAAAGAGGTAGAATAGAAAAGAAGTGGAGCTTTCTGTTGGTAGCCGGGGAAATGAATCACATCTATTAATAAGAATGTGCTCTTTGAGATGTACAAAGCTTCTTCACACAAGGAAAGTTACAAAAAAAGGGCCAGATATGGTTTCGGTATATAAACACAGCTACCCTGCGAACTGAAGTTATCCAATCAAACTAACAATACTGTATATAACTACTGTTACAAACAAGAGCTTGGGAGATCATCACTTTTGATTTGTTCCTCACTCAGTTCTCTTTCCCCTTTCCACTTCCTTCAGATACTTTAGGGCTGTCATAGGCTGAAAGAAAGAAGGTACCTTGATTCTTTTGCAGAAACCTGATCAGAAAAACACCACATGGATTAAAACAAAAATCAGCATAGCACTCTTGTACCAACATGGATGTGGTAAAAGCTTTCGGCAACAATACTTATGATGTCCCACTAGTACATCACCAAGAACCATACTTTCTCTTTCGATGATAAATCCGAAAGGGACACTGACACGAATCACGATGTTGTCCAAGGTGGTTACGATTCTCATGCTAAATAAATGTTAACAGCAAATGGAAGAGGATAGATGAGTTTTACTTGAGAAAGTCAACCAGTTTCTGCTGCAACAGGACAAGAGTCTCCTCTTCAATTTTTACGCAAGACAATAACTCCGGCATCTTTACTGCAGGAACAACAGAAAGGGATAAACAATTTGAATACGAAGGAATAACCAGATTCAGTTAGTCTATTTGGCAGCGTGTGAACCACAATGAACGGGTCCTCATTATCATTAAACCAAGTAACATTCACTTCCAGAATGAAAACTGATGCTAATGTAAGAGATAATTCTCTTGTAGCATGAATCGTACCAAATAAGCGCAATAGATGCTCAGCACCGTATACACTTGATGGGGAGGTGTTATCTAAAATTGTTTCTTGATACTGCTGGCGCTCCTTTTTATATAAAAGAATGACTGGTAACGCTTTGTCAAAGTAACACCGCAATCCATTCAGAATTTCTCCAACTGAATCAGTGATCCTGAATCCACATGAAAGATTTTCACAAGGGTCACCACAGAACAAAACTAAATTCTCTTGGAAAATCATTAAACTGTCAAATGCAATATTTCAGCCTCATAGAGATCTTAACAAGGGTGAGAGAATTTGAAGTGATTTGAAGAATATTAAACGCTGAATTACATAGAATTTTCCATCACGAATGACTTAAAAAATATTTTTGGGTTATACAAGGCTATAGCCGGAGAGCAGACGCTTACTTTTCATCCTTTGTTGTACGGTACTCAAGGTATTTTGTCAATATATCGTCAACACTGGGGGAGCGTGGCAGTCTTACCAACTGCAAGGGAAAAAAATTAAACAACTTCCATTACTACATCACCATGCAGCACTTGAATTTGTTAAGTAAATGCATATATATGGTACACACAAACACACAAACAAACACACACACACACACACACACACACTCACAGAGAGAGAGAGAGAGAGAGAGAGAGAGAGAGAGAGAACCTTATTCTGCTGTGTTACAAATTCCCAATCATCAACAAGTTGCTTCTTCAAAGTAGATGGTAACTGGATCTTAACTAATTTCTCTGTCGATCTATTGTCTTTCTGCAAACCAATCCGGGGTTGATAATTAGTAACAAAATCAATACCCATTAAAAAGTTATTTAAATCGAAATTTTATAAAGAAGCTCTCTATTGGCAGCATAAAACCATAAGAGGCTGACTATTTTTCAAAAATCAATAAGTGTAAGGCGACAAAAGATGAGGATACAAAAGAAATTTCTGCAAACATTAGATCCAACAAAGCAACAACCCATACATTGTATGCATATTAAATGGACCAGACTAGAAATTAAGAATCTTATCCTACATCTGACCAAAAGATCCCATGTAAAAAATGAGGTAATGTACTACCAAAGAAAATAAATGGGCCATGTAAGAATCAATGCATAGTTTTGGCTTCCAAATTGAAGCTCGAACTTAGCAAAGTAATAACTAACTTCTGAAGACTCCTGAACAAAAATTCAGAGTTCAAGCTCTGGAAAAAGATGTTTGTGTATAAGCACTGCATATGTATTTTGAAATCCACAACGCTGTCACAATATAGAGATTTACTTCCTTTGCAAATTCCAGATAATTCACATCATTAATTCCACCAATACCACAAACAAGTCTCTGAATACAAGGAATTCTACAATCTGAAGGCCAAGATTTATACGAACCTCAATTGCTGAATCTGCCTTTCGCTTCTTCCCTTTTGATGCTGCAGACGAATTTCAAGGGGAAGGGGAAAAAGGGAAAATTAAGTTCATTCATCCCAAATTGCACAACCAAGAAATTTAGCCTCCAAGAACAATAAAGTTGTTTATAGTAATACATTTGCCTTTCATGGAGCATTTAGAAGTATTTTACGATTGTGATCAAAGGAATTTTATCTGTTTCTTCTTTTTATTTATTTTTTCATGAGAACCGAATTAGAAAACCTATTCATAGACTATCAGGTAAATTTACCTACGAATAACTGGAAAGACAGCAGCTTATAAAGTTTTATTTACTTGGCTGACTAAGGTTAACATAAGCTTTACTTGTATGAAACAACACAGTTGCTGAGTGCAAGAAAGTGTCTCCTTTAGGAAAAACAAACATACACATGATAGAAAGCCCTAGAGATAAAACAACATCCAATTGTTCCTTCTGTATGAGAAAGCGAAATAGGAGGCACTAGAAGGAATTTAGAGAAGACGAACATACCGGCGTTTTTTGTTTCCTCCTTCTCTCCTTTAGCATCTGCTAAATTCAATCAAACAAAGGGCAGCAAATGTAAGAGGTACTATCAATCTCAGCTTCCAAAGTAAACGTATTTAACCAAGTTAGTTGAAAACCATTCTCTTCCAACATATCACAGAGAAAATTATGCCTCCTCAGCAAAGCTCCTAAATGAGCTCAAATGGACATCATGAAAACATGTGCCTGTATTAAAGGTGAGTTCTGTCTTCTGATCAATACATCATACATGTGCAATTACTGTTTAATACTGCATACCAAATCTAGTACAAAATACAGAAGCATACATGTTCTTCTCTTATTCTAGTTTCCTTGTCATTTTGTCACCTGGAAATATAAAATAACATACCAGCTGAGCTTTTGGGTTTTGTCTGAGTTGAACGACCTGATTTTGCATTCTTGTCGGTTCCTTTTTTCTTGTCTAAGGCCTTCTTCTTCAGAACATTCTCTTGGGTGTATTTCATAAGACGCCCAGAATCTACCCATTCATCCCAACTATTGGCAAAACCAAAAGGCATATTTTATTTTTTGCATTAGTTCCAAAATAAAATTTAGAAAAGAAAAGAAAGAATCTCACATATGGAAAAGAGAATAATTCATGACTTTTGCTGATGAGTATAGCAAATTGGACTTCCACATAACACACAATAACCCATTAAATGGAAACAGGCCAGTAAATCAGAGGATCAGATAAACAGAAATTGAGCGACCCATTGTGTGTTTCACAAGTTTTGTGCCCAATTGCTCTTTAAGCCAGAAACAGAAAGTATTGCGCACATATATCACCGATAAGTATGAATAATCACAAATCGACAAAAGTCTTACATTAAGCCGATAAATGCAAAGAGAACAGCAAAAACGGTAAGGCCAAATGATTCAGAAACTCTGATAACAAGAAATTCAGAAACCGAATGTGCAATTCATAAATTATTGGCTCAACAATTTTAAAGCACTGAGCTACAACAAAGATTTTTAACTTAATTTTCCTAAAGAAAGAACAAGAGCAAACGTACTTCTTATTCCAGCCCTGCAGAAGAAACAAGAAACAAAAAATTAGTAGATGCCGAAAAGACAAAAATGCAAATATATTCCGAAGAAAGGTAAATAGGTGGAAATTATGCTGAATCCAAAAAGATATCCATGGAAAGATAGAAATACAGTGTTATCAATAAAACTTACAAGGTAATGCACAAAGTATCTCCATTCATTCTTTCGCACTTCAGCCTTTTGAACCTTAAAAACAGACCATAGACATGGATTATTAGCACACAACCCAATAAAGAAGCAACATACAATGGATTCAAGAATCACAGGCGTAGGATTCAACATAAGGAGAGGAAAAATAGGTAAAAGAGGGATTCAATATCCAATAAACAAAACTACGACCAACTTGGAAATTGGATAAATGAGGTTCATAAGACTGTATCAGGGACTGTGATAAATAGCGTGTAACGTATGAACTCGAAAAGAATAATTCCATCGCTTGAGTGAGGGTTTTGGAGCATACCTTAGCTTCGTAAATTTTAGGGCCATGGTAAGCGAGGACCTTTTCGCCCTCAGAAAACAGAGCGGAATCCGACTCTGGACCTTCTCCGGATGAGTTCTCGCCGTCGCTGGCGGAGTCATCCTTCGAGCTTACCATTCCCTTCTTCTGAGACTTTCCCTTTCCCACTTTCGAGATTTATTTCTTGGCTGAAGAATCAAATAACTGATAGGGCTTTTTTTGTGGCTCTATTTTTCTCGCCTCGGCAAAACAGAATAATATGTTTAATTGTTGCTCACTTCACTTCTTCGCCAGGAGTTAGGGCAAAACCTGGCAAGAAGAGGTTGAGCTTCCGGGTGGCGGAGACGGCGGAGGTGGTGGCGGGTGATGCCCAATTAATGAGCTTTATACAGTGTTTCCCACGTCTCAGACTCCGTTTAAATCTGGCACGAAGGAGTTAACCCACTTTCACGTGCGTGTTTTATTTTCAAACGATTTGCTCAAATGATATAAGCTCTATAGTTCTCGTCGGATAAAGGAGCTTAAAGGATTATAAACTCACTCTAATTCTGTTGCAATTGTTGTACTCCGCCCAGTTACTTGAAAAGTTGGGAAAAGTAAAATTAACATTTTTCAGATTTTAATTCTGAGGAAAATTAATATTACTTTATTTTACTTTTTGATTCTTTAGAATATAATTCTGAAGAATATAAATGCTTTCTTCTATTTGGTTATATGTTAGAAAATATGCTTGAATGTGAAAAAAAATAGCCTATAAACCCCCCAAAATATTCTTTATGGAATTCGATTCAAAATCTCGAGAAAATATGCTCAAAATCTAACTACATGAACAAGAACTTATTCACGTCATCTACTAGTACGTTGACTATATGTATACCTATGTGTTTGTATGTTTAAATTTTTAATCCGTCAAAGATGATTTAATTTTGAGTTAGATTAATTAAATTCAAATTTTATTTAATGTAAGTAATAGACATGAGTTTTTGAGTGCCAAATTTATTTACAATCACTATGTTATTATCACACTTTAAAACTACTTTATAACTATCATAGTATTTTTTAAAAAATAATGTATATAATATTTTGATATACCCTTAAAGATGTATTTAAAAAATCTTTTTCTCATTTTACTCCTAACATAATCCAAATCCTATCTTTTAATTTTATGTTGAATTTTTTTTCGAACGATTTACATTTTTACTTTTGTATTATTGGTTATTGGTAAATTAAAAACTCATTATTTATTGATTAAAAAATTATTTTGATAAAGTGTATAGTTTTTTGTAGCAAATCAAATATTTTGCCAATTATAATAATGTAAAATGATCATTAATCAAATTGTAAAAAAAAATTTAAAAATATATAAATAAATTAGATTAAGAAAAAATAAATAAAATGTGAATGATATGAAAATGATGGTAAAAAAAAGGTTGTGGAGAATAAAAAATGAGTAAATATTAAAATCTTAAAAGTTGGGAATCACAATACCACCTCCAAGGTGAGGAATCATAATCCAGAAAAGTTATGTTTATTTTCCTTGATTTTAGGATTTTTTTCCTTTCCCAAAAGTAAACAAACAAAGGAGATTTATAATCTCATTCTCTCGGTCGCCCTTCTCTCCTTCTCCAACCCTAAAACCCTAAAACAAAAAAAAAACTCCATCTTTTCCCCCATCTTTCCACCATGGAAGGATGGGAGAGATAATTCTGTCCCGATCCTTACATTTTTTATTGTTGTTTAATTTATTTTCAATAAGTGAGATTATAATCTCCTCTACTAGTTAGGCATGGCGGCGACTTTCTTATGGATGTTCGCTGGTATGGAGGCGACTTCCCTGGTGATGTTTGTTGGTATGGCGACATTTTTGTCGGTGATGTTTGCAGGTACGATGGCGGGTTCGTTGGAGTTCGCTCGTATGGCTTTAAAAGATTCAGTCATCATAGATTTAGTTGTTAGATTTATGATTTGGGAGTTTCAACTGATTTTTAGTGTTGTATCTTTGTTTCGACACGTGATACAACCACTGCTTGATAGGGTAGATCTTTATAGGTTTATCTATATAAAACACAACAAAGGCACCATGATTATGGCCAATTGTAAGTTGTGTTTTTCTGGCTGTATCTTTTCTTATCAATCGCTGCTAGACGGTTTCCAGTAAATTAATAAATTTTATTTCTCAAAAAAAACAAACAAAGGAATTTAAAAATTAGGAAAATGATTACTTTCCTATTCCAAACAAACACTTGAATTTAAAAACAAGGAATCATATTACTTTCCGGCCCAGAATCTGTAGCAACCAAACAAGCCCTGCACAATAATTTTTGGACAAAGGGAGTACTACTTTTGATCCATAACATTGAAAATCAAGTTATGGATTATTTTTATGAGACGGAAACAGTACAAAATCCTAAGTTTGATTAGATATTATAAGAAAGGGGAAAATAAAAACCATTTAATAACACTATCAAATCACAAACAATGTAACACAATATGTATAAAGTAACACAAGAATATGGAAATAAGTACTCCATTTTTCTTAAAGTTATTGTCCAATTTGAATTTTCACTTTTAGTATAATCTGAACATAAAAATGAAAATCGTAACTGGATAATAATTTCGGGACGGAAAGTATATAAATTTATTCCCTCAATCGTCACAAAGTTACTTGGCATATTGATTTGGTTGGCTCTCGAATTTAAACTTTATACATCTATAAAGTATTCAACATATTTCTTTATTTACTACTCATTTGTTTTATCCAAACTATTTTAGTCCAACAAAAAATGTGAATGAAAATTGTTTGTCATGGCTCATGAACGATCAAAGCCAAGTTTTTGGAATAAGATAAATTGCTCTTATTCATCTACATTTATAAAAGTTGCAAAATGCATAAATGGGAAATCCTGCAAAGCTATAAGGGGTACGAATGTCTTGTAAATGAGGATCATCTGCAATGATTCGTTAAATAAGATTTTGCTTTTTCATAAAATCTTAAAACTCAAAAACAATATTGCTACACATTTATGAAAAAGCCAAGTATAATACTAAAGTAAAATGAGACCAAAAAGACTAAAAAGGGAGTAAATTATGTATATCAAGAGACGAAATAACCATGTGGAAAAAAAATAGTAATTTTATACAATGACACTGTAGACCAATGAAAGGGATATGGCACAGCTTGGTAGCGCGTTTGTTTTGGGTACAAAATGTCACAGGTTCAAATCCTGTCATTCCTAATCATTACTGCTCAAAGTAGCAGTAATGGGAGATCGCCTGGGATCAATTCAAATCAAACATAATGTTTCATTTTTATGATACTATCCATAAAGTCTTTCTTCTAGTGTATTCGGATAAGAAAGCGCTCTTAGTTCAGTTCGGTAGAACTCGGGTCCCCAAAACCCGATGCCGTAGGTTAAAATCCTGTAGAGCGTGATTCTTTAGTCTCAGGGTCAAAATTAGATAGACTGAGTAGATATAGTTCAGTAATTTGCACAACAATAGTAATTTTTGACCTCCTGTCTATTAAAAAAAGAAAGGAGGAGGTGAATAAAAAAAATGAGATAGTAATTAATCAAATAATTAAAGGTTTAACTGACCACCACGTCTGTATTGTAAATATGCAGTTACAAATAATCCAGCCAAAGTAATATGAATTAGACCTAACACGATTCCAAATAGAAAAACTTCAATCATTTCTATTTGTTTGAAAGAAAAAAAAAAGAATATCTATACCTAAATATTAATAAGAATTTATATGAATCTCAATGACCGCCAATTTATAATTAGGACAATATGTAATTATCGAATAAGCAAAATATCACATAAAGATTTTGTTTTATGAATTGCTGAGTTCAAATAGTAATTTTAAAACTAGATAAGCCGTATTTTACTCAACCCAATAAATAGAACTGATGACATAATTAAAACTGCTAGTAGAAAGCCAAAATAACTAGTTATAGTAAGCATTAAAGAGCTAAATTAAATAAGTTTTTTTGTACATATGTTTAGAAAGCACTTACCTAAGTTTCAATTTGTCCAAACTAGGAGGATACTCTCAAATACCAATTGAAAGAATAAGTTCAATTGAAGGTTTGTTATTCATCTATCATTATAGACGGCACGAAGAAAGCGAAAGTAAGAAGTAAATAAAAATAAAATGAAAAAAATGCAGCATCTGTAACATTTACCCATCTGGAATTTTAATCAACCAATTCATTGAATAACTTTTTGATAAACTAATCATACGAGATGGGTCGTATAACTTCATTCAACAACGAAACTCTTTTAAAATTAGTAAGTATGGCCTAGTTTCGATTTTGATCATTTCTTCTATTGTTGATTTTAGAGCCGAGAGTAAACTTAAAAATAAGAAAAAAAAACTAAAAATTTTTACTTTACTTTAGGTTTAACTCATTAAATCCAGCAATAGGTTCATTCAGATAATATTTTGAACAACTGAGGAAAAAGAAATTTACTAGACAATCATATAATATAGCTTTTATAGGTTTATAATTTGATATTTTTCATTTACTATTTGAAAGACCGATGCTCGAAGATAAATGCTCGGATCCTCGTCAAATACAAGACTACATCACACCTTTTTTTTTTAAATAACAAAAAATTTAGAACAAAAATTAAAGGCCTATTTGGGAATATAATAAATAAATAGAATAAAGTAGGGTAAGAATATAATAATCTCTTGCATTGGAAAAAATGTCTACATCAATAAATAAAAGTAAAGCAAAAAAGAAATTATTTAACACTTCCTGATTAAAAAAAATTACGTTGTCGTGTCAGAAGAAAGATAATTATATTGATTCAGTATACTCTAAAGACGTCGTCGGTACAATATTGACGATCTCACTAAAATGAAATTTCAGTAATTAACATTTACTGATCTCATTTTTTACGGAATCAATATCAATCCCATTTGACTGTACAAGAATATGTGGAGCTCAACATGTCTGGAAGCACATGAGAACGTTCCTTTGCGGATATTATTACCAGTATTCGATATTGGGTCATTCATAGCATTACTATACATTCCCTTTTCATTGCGGGTTGGCTATTCGTCAGCACCGATTTAGCTTATGATGTGTTTGGAAGCCCTAGGCCAAACGAGTATTTTACAGAAAATTGACATGGAATTCCATTAATAACTGGTCATTTTGATTCTTTGGAACAACTTGATAAATTTAGTAAATCTTTTTAGGAGGGCCTAATGACTATAGATCGAACATATCCAATTTTTATAGTACGATAGTTGGCTATTCACGGACTGGCGGTCCCTACCGTCTTTTTGTTTGGGATCCATATCAGCAATGCAGTTCATCCAACGATAAACCTATATCCGAATTTTATAACTTAACTATGACACAATCAAACCCGAACGAACAAAATGTTGAATTGAATCGTACTAGTCTATATTGGGGTTATTACTCATTTTTGTACTTGCGGTTTTATTTTCCAATTATTTCTTCAATTAAGAAAACGAAAGAGAATCCAATAAGAATTCTAGGTATTCTCTTAGCGATTTCGGAAGGATCTCATCCATAATTACCCACGACTGTTTACGTCTCTCTAGCACGAACACTTGATGAAATACGGAGTGAAGTGGGATAAATAGCCGATACTACTGGAAGAATTCCTCTTTGGATAATATATAGTGTAACCGGTATTCTTGTGATCGGGTTAATAGGTGTTTTCTTTTATGGTTCATATTCCGGATTGGGTTCATCCCTATAGTAATCAAATGAGTTGAGTTCGTGACATGAAAGCGTAAGAACTCGGCGGAATTCCCCTCTTTCTTTGTCTGATTTGAGGGGGACAGACCCGTTGAGTTCCTAAGAATCATACTTCTTTTATTTGCCCACCACCTCTTATCTTATTCTTATATTTTCTCATAATAACTCGAAAAAATTTTCTGATACATTGTAAAAATTCAAAAACAAGACTAGGAATCATTGAAGAACATGATTAAGAATCATTACTCTTTTGGCACAAGAAAGAGTTTCGAAAATTCCCTTTCTTGTGTCGGAGACTACTCGGAAGACGAATACTCTCTCCTAGCATTATACGTTTCCCGCATTTATCCGTTCTTTCTATATAACATAACCAATTACGTCTGCCTAGTATTTAATCCAATTGGATTAGATTGTGAATCAAAAATCAAATTATTGATCAATTTTATGATATTGAAAAATAACATTACTAATATAACTAAACCACACCATTTTGCATAACAAAAGCTAAGAAAGAGAAAGCCCAACCCAATAGCCTTCTTTAAAATTTATATATCAAAATCTCTAGATTATGGTTGGACACAAAAGTCCCAGTCGAGTAGGAAAAAAGTAAAAAGTCAATAAATCCGCAACCGCAAATCTAGAAATTCATTTAAGCTAATTGAACCTTCTCGAACTGTTTCTTTTTAAGAACCAAAAAGATTTGTGCCAAAATAATAGATGCCAAGAAGACCAAAAGGCCTTGGAGGCGCAATGGGTCTTGAAGTACTATTTCTGCATCTCCTTGACCAAACACTCCAACATTAGGATTACTCGTTAATGGTTGATCAAATTTGATGGATTCGCCCTCTGAAACAAGAAGTTCTGGTCCAGGGGGGGATAACATCAACCACTTCTTGTCCACCCGTATCTGTTATGGTTATTTCATATCCCTCTTTTTCTTTTCGTAAGATTTTGCTTACTATACCTGCTGTTGTAGCATTATAAACTGTATTGTTACTCTTACTTCCGTCAGGATAAATCTGACCCCTTCCTCGGTTCCCGCCCACGTATACAGGATACTTTAAGAAGTAAATATCTTTCTTCGTAGCAGGATCCAGGTAAAGTATAGGATAGGTGATTTTACTATATTTCTGACGGGGTACGGGTCCTATCACAAGAATATTTTTTTATTGGGGCAATAGCTCTAAAAAGACAAATTGCCTGTCCTTTCTTTAATCTCGGGAGAAATACGATCAGAATGAGCTAATTCAAACCCTTCCGGTAAAATAAGAACAACCCTACATTTAAACCCCCTTTTTTACCATTAGCAAGAACTTGTTTCAGTTGCATATCATAAGAATATTCCTCGATCCTCGAACACGAGGAGAACGCAAACTTTTTGTCATGAACGATCAGGCCAAGTTTCGGAATAAGATAAATGGTTGTTATTCGTCTACTGACCCACATTTACAAAAGTAGCAAAAATGCATAAATGACAAATCCTGCAAAGCTAGAAGGTGTACAAAATGTCTGCAAAATGAGGATCATCTAGGCTCCTGCATTGTGATTATTGCTCCCGTGTGATTATTGCTCCCGTTCAAAAGAGCATCTGAATCCTCCATTTCATATTCACTTATTGCAGCGCTGAAAGAAGGCAATTTCCCAATCAAAGGCATTGGCAGATTAAACGAAACTTCGGAATTGCTGCTTTCATTTGGTTGCCATGGCAACGCAGTCTGTTGCAGCTTCAATGCGTATTCCAGTTGGAACAGCACATCAACCATATTAGGCCGGTCGGCGCCCCGATCCTGCAAACATTTCTGCACAATCCGCCCAAACCTTCTTAGGGAATCAGGGCTGATTTTTCCCTTTAAGAAAGGGTCAATGATCTTTTCAAGTTCCCCTTTCATTAAACTACACTTTCCCCATTCTGCAAGGTTTATTTGCTCATCTGGAAGCGTATTGTCAACTGCTTGTCTTGCACATAACACTTCAAGGAGGACGACCCCAAAAGAGAAAACATCGGATTTCTCAGTTAATACAAGGCATGTGAAGTATTCTGGATCAAAATAACCAAAGCTGCCTTTAACTTCAGTACTGAAATGAGTTTGATCAAGTTCGCCTAACCTTGAGATACCGAAATCGGCAACTTTTGCCACGAAATGCTCATCTAACAGAATGTTTGTTGACTTTACATCCCTGTGTATGATTGCTCCACCTATACCAGTGTGAAGATAGTGCAGCCCTTTTGCTGCATCGATGCATAGCTGAAGCCTTTTCTCCCAGGATAACCTCGATTCAGGAGTTCGTTTTTCGGCCTCTCCCTTTGAACTGTAAATATGATCTTTCAGTGTCCCATTCTCCATGAACTCGTACACAAGTACCATCTCCGATCTATCATCACAGTACCCGATCAAGGAAACTAGATGTCGGTGCCGGATTTTCGATAAGACCATTATCTCAGTTTGAAACTCGGAGAATCCCTGGATTCGTCCTGGTTCACTTCTTTTGACAGCCACTTTAGTTCCATCCCTGAGAATTCCTCTATAGACTTTGCCAAAACCACCTTTTCCAATAACCAATTCTTCGTCGAAATTCCTTGTGGCATAAAGAACTTCTCTCAGAGATACCTTCAGTCCGAGATTTAAATCCATAAGAGGGGATCCACTGGCATTTCTTTCAGTGCTCCTCTTACTTAAAGTTCCCCTGTTCATTTTCAGAAGTCCACACTCATCAAGGGAGTCAACTGGATTTGCTTTCCTACTCATCAAATAAAACCACAACAAAACCGCGGAAACAATCATTAGAACGCCGCCTCCAACGACTGAACCCACAATTACTGCCAAATTTGTCTTTGAAATGGAACCTGAGCTGCTGCTAATCAGTTCCATAATCTCTAGACCATTAAGGAAAGCAGTTTTATTATCTGAAGAATCTGGCCTAGGGCCAATACTAATGTTCATCAAACCAGAGGTATCCGAATTAACTACGAAATCGATGTAGAAGGGAACGGCCGTATCAGTAAACAAACCGTGCGGATCAATCAACTGGACGAAGTTTTGGATGAAGAGATTAAACTTCAAAATATTTGATGAAACGCCGACACCAAGGACGTCACAGAAGTGCGCCCGGACTAGAAACCTGGAATTCCGATTCACAACGAAACACCAAGTGGCATTAATATTTTGTAATACACTACCATTAACGTTGAGCACTTTGGCTGAATTATACACAGGATCAGGAGCATCAAATCTTGTGACTGAACCCAGTTCATACTGGGGTCCTGCGTTTCGGAACGGCGCTTTAACGGCGGCATTTCGGACGTACATATAATCATCATCAGGAACCCAAGTTCTCAGCACTGTGTCATTATCAGGTGTTACTAGATGTCCCCCAACGTTAATCCTATGAATTACTTGCAGAGCATTAGAGATTAAACCATCATAGACACTGTTACTAGACCCCATAAGAACTACAGAACGGGAAGAATTCTTAATCAATCCATCAGGAGCCAGGAATGCTTCGATTGCACTGATAAAAGCCAGGGATGATGAGCCGGAAGGAGTGAATCTAATCTGAAACTTGTCAGCATTTAAATTCATGAGGAATTCTTTAATCAATGGTGAGTTAATAGAAGCGTTGTTGGTGCTGTTTCGAAGTTGGAAGTCGGACAAAAGATTGAAATTGGAAGCAGAGACGCTGAATCTAGCAGTGTGAAGATCAACACCATCTTGAGAATTGAAAGCAGAGAAATGGAAGCGTACCAAGTAGGTGCTGTTCGGGGTTATGTTTTTGAATTCGTACCAGGATGGATGTCTGAAAATTCTTGCAGTTCCATAAAGTGTTCCCGATGAGTTCGTTGATGGGTTTATGGCTACAGTGGAATGAGGTGCGGACAAGGTGAAAGATTTGGGGTTGACGTCGCCGACGAAGTTCCGGCGGTTGACCGTCGTGATTCCGGTCGAGCCACAGTTGATGAAGTAGTGATCAGGTACAGAGTAAGTTGACGTCTGGGCTTGAACGTGAAAGCAGGGGAGAAACAAGAAAAAGAATAAAAAGCTGGAAAAATGAGTATTCTTCCCCATGGAATTTTTTGGTGGAGAGAATGATTTTTACGCAGAAAGCTTCTTATCCACACTGAGCAGAAAAAGTGGAAGACGAAGAACTTGATTGATTAATCATTGTCGTTCGTTGGCTGTGGAATTTGAAAGAGAAGAAGACATTAATAGGTTTGTCTGAACATTAAATAGAGTGTAAATAGTACTTGAAAGGAACATGGATGGCGGTTGACTGAGGGTTGACACTGGGACTGGGTGTTCAGCCAATCAGGACTTGACACGTCAATCAAAGAACTTCCTGTTTTAAAATGAATTTATCAAATCACTAACCTCTGAAGAACTTCCGGTAATATGATGCATTAGACTAACAACTTTTTTTTTTTTTTAATCGTGAAAGCCTAGTCCTTTGTTAGTTCGAATTTTGCGACCATCTCTGCTTTTCACATAAGTCGCAGTAGCTCTGTTTCTATTGCTTTCCTGATCAGCTTGACTTTCTTTTAACTTAAAAACTAGATGCTTGGCCCGGACAAATGCCCGGGCGCCTCCTCTAAATTATTATTTTATTAAAATCTAATTGAATTACTATTTTTTGAGGAATTAATTTGACGTATATATCATTTATGCTATGGTTTGGGACTTAAAAAAATATACATATAAATCTGAAGTTATAAGGGAATAATAAATAATTAGTTTATAAGTCATTATTCTTAATTGCTGGATTTAGGTATTTTTATTTTTTGTTTATATTAAGCCTGCAAAACTATACGATTGGACATTTGAATTTGAATTAATATATCCATTCGTTTGAAATGTAACTAATCCTTATTTGTAGTAAAACATGTGTTTTATTTTTTAAAAAAATTATATAGCTTCTAATTAAAAGAGACTTACACGTGGCAAAAAGATTTCTGAAATCTGAAATATGGTGTATTGGAGCCAAAATGGATGCATACGTAGTTGCCACATAAGCTTCATATCTTCTGCTTTAATAGGGTAAAAAGGATAATCAATGAAATATAAATAACAAAAAACTCTTGGGTTTGAGTTTAATCTTATTTCAAAACTAATTACTCCACTCGTCTCCAAAACATCGTCTACATTATACATTCTGATTCTATTTTTTATGATTTATGATTTTGCTAGAATCTGACCAAAAAAAAAAAAAATTAATACAAACATTTTATGTGTACTAGTAACACTGTCGAATTATAATGACTGTAACACAAGTATATTCTTCTTTCTTTTTCTTTTTTTTTTTATCAATATATTTCACAATTAGCTTTACAATTCATTTTTTTTTGGTGTTAATTTGAATGCAAACTTTTTCTTAGTATTGAAAGGGATACAAAAGAAGATTTATGTCGTCATCGAAATGGAATTAAATTCAAGCTAATAAAACTCGTTTTTGGTCCTTTATATTCAAAGGTAGGCACATCTATAAATGAAAATAATATTCCAGAAGCATTTCCAAGAAAAGAGATGCAGTTTGAAATATTTAGTTTGGACAAAAGTGTAAAAGTATTGCTAATATCAAAATAAAAGATTAAAAATACATTAATGCCATAACTAATTTAGATTCAAATCGAATAAGTCCTTCTCAAAATATTACTAGTATTGTACTCGTGTGTTACACGGTTGATACAGATTTATTCTTTGAATATATTTCAATGAACAGATATATTAAGCTGAACAAAAATTGTCACTACAACAAAGGAGATAAAATTGAAGAAAAAAAAATAATGACCGCATCATACATTCTCAAGAGCTTCTTTGTAAACAACATTTGTTGTTGAGCTGCATAATTTTCCTTTCTTATTGCAAATAATTATCTTCAAACCTTTCCTGGACGTTACTCTGGAGAAAGCAACGTAAAGTTGTCCACGGGTAAAAACTGGACGACGGAGAAATAATCCAACATGAAATAACAATTGTCTTTGACTCTTATTGATCGTCATAGCAAAACATGCTACAATCAGGAATTGCCTCCGTCTTAATTTAACTGACATCCTCTCGTCAGTCGGACTAATATCCATACGCGGAATGAAACAATTGCGATCGATATTTGTACTAGATATAATAGTAGATTGAATAACTCGTTCCCTCCTGCATCATTGACTTGTAACCGGGTACCATTGCTGCTAAAGACAGCTTGTCAACGTTTTTTATTTTGTTGCGACATCGGCCAACAGACATGGTTGCCGGATTGAAATTGGACGAGCACCGTCCATATTACTGTCCCGATATTTTCTTATTACCGCGGGTAAGAAAAATATTAAAGATGAAATAGTAAAAATAATAAGTAAAAAAAATATACTATTTGTTTAAAAGTGCAAAGTAAATGTAATAATATATTAACCATGTAATCCCTTTTACCCTATTAAAGCAGAATACAAGATGTTGATGTGGCAACTTCTTATTAAAAATTTTTGGCTCCAAATGCACCATATTGCATTAACCATTCTGCCACGAGTCATCCGTTTTTAAAAGAAAAAAAATTCTTATCCGGAAAAACAAAAACTATTTTACAAAAACAGCTACACAATTTTAACTCCTAACATTTATCATTTATCAATCAAATTAAAATAGTATTTAAATTTACCCATAAACTTATCCTCTTTATTACTCCACATTTTTTTGTATGATTTCTGTATCGTTGTACTTTTCAATATTTTTTTTTCCCTTTGGTAGATGATTTTTTATTTTTATTTTTATTTTTGGCTAAGAAAAGGAAAAAAACTAAATGTGTAACTATTTTATTTTTTTCAAATCAAGAATTCATTTATTTATTAACACAAAATTATAATAGAGGGGCGCCCGGGCATCTGTCTGGGCCAAGCATCTAGTAATAATATAAAGGATATGGACTCCTAGAATCCGTGATATTTTTACCTCCATCACCATCCCTTTTCTTTCTTGATCTCGAGCTAACCAAATCCCTCGTGTTCTTTGCTTCCCTCATTCAGAGTCCATGTCCTTTAGTTGATTCGGCGAACCAAAACCAACCTTCTGAATTTGTAAATTTCCAGCCTCTCAGTCACCATCAACCTTCATCTTCACGACATACAATCTATGCTGCAAGAGTAGCAATAAATGTCTTCACTCATGAGACTACCTATAACACCATATTTGATGTTGCTGCTAGCTTTGCGACCAATACTTCCCTCGTGGTTTATGGTCTACAAAAATAAACAACGATTGAATCTGTAAATCTAACCCCAAAAAAATCTAAAACAAAATTATGCAACAAAACTGACATTAATCAATCATGTGGATCATTCATAAATTTCAACTAATTGTTATATTTGCAAGAGAAGCTCCGTGTAGAGTACTAAACATTAGATATAACACATTTTAATTATCCCGTATGCAATGTGAAAATTGGAGAAATTATTGACACATAGTTCAGTTTATGCTCCATTGGCCAAGTTCAAGATTAGTATAACAATCTCCTGTCAATTTTTTCCGAATGCAGTTAGTTAATGGTTAAACAAAATTCAGTGAAACAGAAACTAAAGATATGAAAGGGCTGGTGCATTATGAAGGCGGTCGTCAGTCCATATATGTGTGAATCGGGAATCGCATCGAATCAATGGCCTTCAACATATTTCTGGATGAAATTTGAGTGATGCAGTATGAAGGCGGCAGAAAATCTGATGTACCATGGGAAATTTAAAGATCAAAGCATTAGATGGATCAGGAGCAACGGCCGACGGGGACAATAGCGCCGGAAATATTTTATACGGCGGCCGATTTTGTCCTGTCTTGACGGGGACGAGGTTACCACTTAACATCTTGACGGCCGGAGATATTTTTTTACTGTACAATAATTTTTTTATCATTGTTACATTAAATTTTTTTTACTGTGCAATAATTTTTTTTAATCATTGTCACATTAAAAAGTAAATAAGAGAAATAATTAGTAAAGATTAAAGAAAAAGTTAATTGGGATAAATGTAAATATTTATTGACCGGACTACCTTATAAATTTTACTGCGAAATCTCTAAACATCAATTATTTTAAAATTGACACATGTCTTTGCATCAAAATTCCTTTCATATATCTTAAAGATTCTCCCAACAACTATTTTAAATTTAAATCACTGTTGCATATTGGTCCATACCCGGGAATGAATTAAAGTCATATTCGAATCAAAGTGTTTGTTTGTTATCTACAGATTTGTTTGTAATCTTCCTCTTACTTCTAGCCCTAACTGTTTCAGTCCTAATATATAAAAATGCAAGTTTTGGTAATGAACACAATCAAACCAAGGTTTGGAACAGATGTTGCCAAATAATACATAAATGAAAATTCCTGCAAAGCTAGAAGGAATACATTTCTGGAAATGAGGATCACCTAGGCTCCTGCATTATAATCTGAGAGAATACTGCACTGGCATCCGTGTGATTACTGCTCCTGTTCCTAAGAACATCTGAGTCCTCCATTTCATATTCACTTATTGCAGCGCTGAAAGATGGGAATCTTCCAAGCAAAGGCATCGGCAGATTGTATGAAACTTCGGAATCACTGCTTTCATTTGGTTGCCACGGCAATGCAGTCTGTTGCAGCTGTAATGCATACTCCAGTTCCCATAGCACATCGACCATATTAGGCCTGTCGGTGCCGCGCTCCTGCAAACATTTCTGCACAATCTGCCCAAATCTCCTTAGTGAATCAGGGCTGATTTTGCCCTTTAGGGAAGGTTCAATGATCTTTTCAAGTTCCCCTTTCATTATATGAGACATTCCCCATTCTGCCAGGTTTATTTGCTCCTTCGGAAGCGTATTATCAAGTGCTTGTCTTGCACACAACACTTCAAGCAGGACAACACCAAATGAGTAGACATCAGATTTCAGAGTTAACAATAGGCATGTGAAGTATTCTGGATCAAGATAACCAAAGCTGCCTTTAACTTCAGTACTAACATGGGTTTGATCAAGTTCTCCTAACCTTGAAATACCAAAATCGGCAACTTTCGCCACGAAATGCTCATCTAACAGAATGTTTGTGGACTTGACATCCCTGTGTATGATTGCTCCACCTAGACCAGTGTGAAGATAGTGCAGCCCTTTGGCTGCATCAATACACAGCTGAAGCCTTTTCTCCCAAGATAACTTCGGTTCAGAGGTTGGTTTCTCGGGATCTCCCTTAGAGCTGTACAGATGATCTTTCAGTGTCCCTTTCTCCATGAACTCATACACAAGAACCATCTCTGATCTATCATCACAGTACCCGATCAAGGAGACCAAATGCCGGTGCCGGATTTTCGATAAGACCATTATCTCAGTTTGAAACTCGGAGAATCCCTGGGTTCGTCCTGGTTCACTTCTTTTGACAGCCACTTTAGTTCCATCCCTAAGAATTCCTCTGTAGACTTTGCCAAAACCACCTTCACCAATAACCAAAGCTTCATCGAAATTCTTTGTGGCAAAAAGAACTTCACCCAAAGCTATCTTCAGGCCGAGATTTAGATCCGGAAGAGGAGAGCCACTGGTATTTCTGTCAGTGCTCCTGCTATATGAAGTTCCCCTGTTCATATCCGGTAGTTCCCACTCATCAACAGTGTCAACTGGCTTTGCTTTCTTCCTGATCAAATAAAACCACAAACATACCGCCGAAACAATGATTAGAACCACCCCTCCAACAACTGAGCCCACAATTACGCCCAAATTAGTCTTGGACGATTTACTATTCAGCACTGAAATGGAACCAGAGCTGCTAATCAGTTCCATAATCTCTAGACCATTTAAAAAAGCCGTTTTCGTATCTGAATCTTGCCTAGCGCCCATACTAACGTTCATCAAACCAGAGGAACCCGAATCTACCGCGAAGTCGAAGTAGAAAGGAACGGCCAAATCACGATTCTGATAGTGTGCATCAACCATTTGGAGGAAGTTTTGGATGAAGAGATTAAACTTCAAAATATCTGATGAAACGCCACCAAGGATGTCACAGAAGTGCGCACGGACTAGAAACCTGGAATTCCGATTCACAGCGAAACTCCAAGTAGCATTAATATTTTGTAATACACTACTATTAACGTTGAGCACTTTGGCTGAATTATACACAGGATCAGGAGCATCAAATCTTGTAGCTGAACCCGGGCCATATTGAGGCGGTGCATTTCGGAACGGGGTTTTAACGGTGGCATTTTGGAAGAACATGTAATCATCATCAGGAACCCAAGTTCTCCCCAATGTGTCAACACCAGGAGTTACTAGAGATCCCCCAACGTTAATCCTATGAATTACTTGCAAAGCATTAGAGATTAACCCATCATAGACACTGTTACTAGACCCCATAACAACTACAGGAGGGGTAGAATTACTAATGAAGCCATCAGGAGCAAGGAATGCTTCAATTGCGTTGACAAAAGCCAGCGATGATGACCCGGAAGGAATGAATTTAATCTGGAACTTCCCGGCATTTAAATTCATGAAAAAATCCTTAATCAAAGGCGAGTTACTAGAAGCGTTGTTGTTGGTACTGTTTTGAACATGGAATTCGGACAGAAGGTAGAAATTGGAAGCGGAGACGTTGAATCTAGCGGTGCTGAGATCAACACCGTCTTGAGAAATGAAAGGAGAGAAATGGAAGCGTACCAAATAGGTGCCGTTGTTGACTATGTCTAAGTCGTACCAGGATGTCTGTTTGAAAATTCTTGCGGTTCCGTAAAGAGTTGCTGATGAGTTCGTTGATGGGTTAGTGGCTACGGCGGATTGAGGTGCGGATAAGGTGAAGGAATTCGGGTTGACGTCGCCGACGAAGTTCCGGCCATTGACCGTCGTGCTTCCGGCCGAGCCACAGTTGATGAAGTACTGATCGGGTACTCTGTAGTCTGAGTTCTGGGCTTGAACGTTGAAGCAGGGGAAGAACAAGCAAAGGAATAAAGAACAGAGGAAATGATGATGATTCTTCCCCATGGATTTCTTGGTGGACAGAATGATTAATCAAAAAAGCTTCTTATCCCCTGAGCTGAAAAAGGGGAGACGAAAAAACTTTATTGATTAATAATAATAATAATCATGGTCGTTGGGTGTGGAATTTGCAAGGAAAAGAAGACAAGAAGATTAGTCGGAGCAATACTGTAAATAAGCAACACGGATGATGTTTGACTGAGGGTTGACTTCGGCTGTTTCCGCCAATTGGAATTCGACACATGTACGAATAACAATTGACGAGTTTCTCCTTTCATATAAACTAAGTATTCCGTGTTTAGAATTACTCCCTTTGTCCCAAAATTATTGTCCACTTTGAGATTTCACTTTTAATATAATTTGAATTAAAAATAAAAATTGGACAATAATTATGGGACGGAGGGAGTACATGTTAACTAATCCGAAGATCATCTGTGCCTTTCACATAAACCGTCGTTATTATGCAACTATTACGCTAATCTTTTTTGCTTCCACGGTTAGGGCACACTTAATTTTTAAAATATTTTTTTAATTAATGAACGATAGTACCTGAAATTCATGGGTTTTATTTTATTATAGTTTTTTTGGGTAACAATTACTCTATCGCAATCATTGGATCGTCCTGCAGCTGGCAGTTTTCTGAAAGGTTTATATTAGCCTATCACGCTTTATTCAAAATTCTGACTATGTTTTATGAAAGTTCTAACCGGTTGGACTCAGTTTTGGTATCTGCAAGTTATAAATATACTACGTTACTATGGTGGAGAAGGCAGTAGGTGGAGAAATGGAATCATTCTACTCCTACTTTTTTTCTTTTTTAGTGCACATTGTGATTGACCCGAGTCACGGGCTGCTACTTGTAGACATAGACTCTTCAACTAGAGGATGTGACCTTCAATCTCTTGTAAGTTGCAACTTACATTTGTTTGTTTATTATGTTCATTTATTTGTCCTATATTGACATTTTACTCGGTCGAAATTCGAACAATCAGTACTCTTGGACTATAAGTATAAGATTGTTGGTATTGTATTGATATGAGACACATGGATCAATTATTTATCTAACTCAATGTGTAAGAGACTCACAAACGATCAAAATGATCCCTCCCAAAACAAATACTCCTTTCGTCCCATAATTATTGTTCAGTTTGAGTTTTTATTTTTAGTACAAAATGAACTAAAAGTGAAATCTCAAACTGGACAATAATTTTGAGACGGAGAGAGTATTTGTGTTTCTTTTGTAATCTATTTATGATTTCAGTCATTACTTGGAGAAACTGAGTCCTTGTCAATCTATTTTATGTGCTTGTCTGACTCACCTATGATCCATATGGATCAGTTTTTCGGAGGAGGGAATAAATGGCTGTTTTTCCAAATACTTGCAAGATTTTCATTTTTTTCCTTTTTTTTTTTTGGGCGCCTTTTCATGAGATTACACAATGTTAGAATATACAATGTTAGAATGGGGCCTCTTTCAAGGCTTGATGTTAGCATGAAAAATCGGCAGTAGAAAGGTACGGTCGAAGTCCATAATAACAGTGTGTTAGTGATGGTACAAGGTGAGGATGAGATTTTTGGGGTGAATGCTGGTTTAATTAATGACATTCGGGAACTTGTGAAGTGACATTGGATTGTGGAGTTTGATCATATATACTAGAAAGCTAATTTCGTGGTAGATTACATGGCTTCTTTAACTGCTCAAGGTCCGGGAGGCTTACAACGTTTTGATTGTCCGCCATCGAAAGTTAAACCATGGTTGGAATATGATGTAACGGGGATTTCATACCCTCGGCGTGTGGTAGTATAGGTGTTAGTCTCCTTTCTTTGTAACCGGAAAAATATATATATATAAATCAGAAAATGTGAAATTTGAAATATGGTCCCTTGTCTGTAGCCCATTTATTTAGCCCATCAGATAGGCCCAAAAACAAAACCCTTTGTGGGGATTTCATTTTCAGCCCCAAATTTCATAGGAGCAACCAAGTTTTACAGAGGCACGAGCTGAATTTATGATAGGATCTAGTACTCTTGAGTAATTTAATTTATCAATAAATTAGCTTCACCTGTAACCAAATTTCCACCCAATTTAATTCCATCTGACTTTATCAATAAATTCTCTCAGCAACTTTAGGTTTTTGCTTGTATACATATGCTGTAAGTTCTCATTTTCCTACATCGGAATCACCATTATTGCCACCTCTAAACTGGTGAAATTCTGTCCTTGATTATAGTTTCATTTCCATTATTTTAAAGAGTTTTTACATGATTAGTTCTTATTTGGTTGTGATTTTTGGATCAACAGGTATGCCATATGCTGCGATAGGATGTGCTTTATGAACTGGAGATTACATCGTAGCCGATGCTTGAGCTTCCTAGAATTCCTTACTAAAGTAAGAAATGAAACTTATTTCATCATTCTCATATACGACTTTATGGAGGGACAAAAATCTTCCGATCATTTTTACCTTAGAAATGAGTCCATGAGTTATTTCTCTTGTATAATTAGTTGAAGACGTTTTCCTTCATGTACTTAAAAAAAAATAAAAATAACCAAAATAAATTTTGAACGTTCTCATCAAATATGATTCACTAGTGTAGAAAATGATTACTTGCCGCTCTCTCTATGTATGTGCTTAATTTTATGGATATTCTTCTTGGTTCTTGTTGGTTTCTGCTTGAGAATATTGATTGTATGTGCTGGTTTGGTACACTATATATTTTGAGCCACTTGTCTTAGTTTCCTTCGATTTTAATTCTTTTATAAATATATATATATATATAAACAAAGATTAGAGCCTGTCAAAAATTATATTAAAATATTTTGCGGATAGGTGACAAATATTAAATTAAAAGTTAAATTGAATTAATTCGTTTTCTCTTTTATACATTTTGGCAGAATGTATGATGTTGAAGACTCATATAAGTCCATTTGTGTTTCACTTTAAAATCAACTAGATGTTTGGCCATGCAGATGCCCGGGCGACCCTCTACTTTAAATTTGTGTTAATAGATAAATAAATTCTTGATTTGGAAAAAATAAAATAGCTACACATTTGGTTTTTTTTTTCCTTTTTTTAGTCAAAAATAAAAATAAAAATAAAAAATCATCTGCCAAAGCAAAAAAATATTAAAAAGTACAACGATGTAGAAATCATACAAACGAATGTGGTATAAAGGGGATAAGTTTATAGACAAATTTAAATGATATTTTAATTTGATTGATAAATGATAAATGTTAGAAGTTAAAATTGTGTAGTTATTTTTGTAAAGTAGCTTTATTTCTCGGGATAAGATTTTTTTTTTCTTTTAAAAAGGGGATGACACGTGGCAGAATGGTCAATGTAATATGATGTATTTGGAGCCAAAAAGTTTTAATAAGAAGTTGCCGCATCAAGATTCTGTATTCTGCTTTAATATGGTAAAAGGGATTGGCGATAAAATGAGTATCAACAGATATATATTGGTCAAATTAAGTTCCTGATTGCGAGATCTTGGCAACTCGTGTTCATTAGGGGGATATCATTCCTTCACGCCTACTATTTGTGTACAGCGATACAGCCTAGTTTAGGCCCTCAATGTGATGGGTGCAGATAATGGCATAATGCTAATGAATTGCAATATCAAATATTTTAGGCATCGGCATCAAATTCTTTTCTTTTGCACCCGAAAAAAAAAAAAAAAAGAAATCTAAACTAAAGCATTTGTGATTGAGTGAAAAAAATTTGTAGATATATATAGAACAAATTATTATTATTATTTTTTTTTGCGACTCAATGAAGCGATTAATCACGATTGCGATGGAGATCTTGTTCAACGAAAACAAAGTTTAACTACTACACCGTGAAACTGAACAATTTAAAATCACCCAATCACTGTACAGTGTAAACTAGATGTGTAGAATGTCCCAGGCTCCCAGCCCATGGTTTTGCAAAAACCTTCCGAGATGGACCCAGATTTCCTGTCAAAAAGGTCAACAGACAACAATCAATATATCGTAAAATGCTTAATTGGACATATATGATTATGGTCCATAAAGGGATAAACATTAATCTTATGATTTAATTTCACAAAGCTTATTCCTCTGTTTTTGACATTTTTAAAATCATGGTGGTGGGACAGCCGACGGTGACCAAACCTAGCCGGAGCGACGAAGTTCTCGATGAAGATCAGCAGATCATGATCACTGAACAAGTCAGAGCCCAGTTTGATTCCTTGGCTCCTAAAAGACCTGCGAAACCCAATCGGAGCGAGTCCGATTCTACTACCCCACCAACTTCCTACGCTCCTGATTCAGACATCCCTGTCCCCGAGCTCGATAAGCTTAAATCCCTTCAATCTCAATCTCATGTACGGTTCCTTTTAATCTGATGGGTTAAATTTGTTTCGTCTAAATGTCTAATCATCCATCTGAAATGGCCCCTTTGGAGTTTTTTTTTTTTTTTTTGGTTTTCTTGTAGACAATTTTGTCGGGCTCTGTTCTGGAGGTACAAGAAGAATTCGTGGAGACGGAATATTACAAGAAGTTGGATTCTATTGACAAACAACACCACACGGTTTACTCCGATTTGTTTCTCTTTGGTTTGCAATTTTTCTTTCCTGATAGATCGATTGAATGATGAACTGAAATGGGTACTTTAATTGGGCAGACTGGGAGTGGGTTCATAAAGGTGGCAGCTGGAAACGATGATTATGATCTAAAGTTGGCAGGTGGAAATCAAGCCCTGCAGAATAAAGAGATGGTGTTCAAAACCAATCCTGCCACCAATGATTGGATTCCTTCCCTTGAAACCGATCAGGTGGGCTTTACAAATTCGCTTTGTTACATTTCATGGCTATTGATTGTTTCTGAATTCGAACGGTTTTTTTTAACTCAGGATGCATTTGTATCTTCGAAGCCTAATCGGAGCGAGAGCTCCTAGATCATCCTTTCTGGCTACACCGAAGGACTTAGTTACAATATGTTTGAGAGAGTTGAAAACAGTTGAACCAGCTTCTAGGGGTTCAAAGGATTACACAAGTATTTCAAGAGAATGATTGGTGTTTAGATGTTTTGTTTTATGTACTACTGTGAGAAATGATATGAACTGGTACTTTTGGATATGGAGGATGATCTTATTCGGTTGTACTTCTGTAACTTTTACTTGCAAAATCCATTAAAACTAAACCATGGGGAAAGCCTTTCAAAATTGGACTTCCTTTTCAATCCACAATTGATTTATAGACGAGAAATGAACCAATTGTGATAAAGTTTTTGTTCATTATTCATTCTCACAAACTTCCTAATATTTTACACCACAAGAAATGGCATTGTTTTGAGGAATTAGATTAGTGAGGACCGAATGAATGTGTTTGGCAAAGATTAGATAGTATTCCACTTTGATATTACATTTGGCTGTAGTTCAAATCGGGGATTGGAAAAATGATTTCATATACCGGTGCTAAATACAATGAAAACAAAAATAAAGCAGGTTTAGGACATTTGAGAAAAATAAATTAATGCAAAAATATCCCCAACCATATCAAGTTGGCAAGTCAGGCAAACGTTATTTCAATTTTCAACTGCGTTTATTCTTCATCTGTGAGAGATGCTGCATATTTTTTCAGTACTGTCACTAAATTGAGTACCTACTAGATTATGTCTTTAGACTCGATAAAGACTGATGGATCCATCTCCACTTTCCGGCACGAGCGCGATCCCCGAATCCAACACGCAAGAGCCCTCCGAGGATTCAAACCTCATAATGTATTTTTGCTCAATTCCATCCTCGCACTCTACTCCAAATCCAATCTCAACCACTATTCCCTTCGGGTGTTTAACTCCATCCCCCGCCGGAATGTCGTCTCATGGACAACGCTTATCTCCGCCTTTTCCCACTCCGCCGTTTCCTTCCACCACTTCGTTTCCATGGTCAGGGAATCTACTCTTCCCAACAGTCGGACTTTCGCCACTCTGTTGACTACTTGTGCTTCCCTTCCTTCGTCGTTGCCCTTTGCCCTTCAGCTGCATTCGCTTGCCCACAAGCTGTCTTGTAATTCTGATCCCTTCACGGGCTCGGCGCTCGTGTCGTTTTATTGTAAGGTTGGGTCTACTGATGATGCTCGAAAGGCGTTTGATGAAATGGCTGACAGAGACAAAGCTAGTTACGGTTCGATTGTCAATGGGATTGCGCGAAACGGCAACCCTTTTGTGGCTTTGAGCTATTTTGGGAAGATGATAGGCGATGGTGTTGGGTCCAGTTATCATAGCGTTTCTGGGGCTTTGAAGGCGGTTTCTGAGCTTGCTTTGCTTGAGCAATGTAGAGTTATCCATGGGCATGCTGTGGTTGCTGGATGGGATATGAATGTGGTTGTTGGTACTGCCTTGATCAATGCTTATTGCAAGTGCGGTTTTGTGGAGGATGCTCGTGGAGTTTTTGATGAGTTAGAGACGAAACTGAATGTCATGGGATGGAATGCAATGATGGCAGGGTATGCACAGCAGGGGTATAAGGATCATGTGTTGGAACTGTTTGGTTTAATGGAGGAAAGGGGTTTAGAGCCTGATGATTATAGCTTTTTAGCTCTTCTGACTGCTCTTTCTAATGCAGGTGCAGTTGAGCAAAATCACAGTTGGATTAGGAAAATGAGGGTAGACTACATGAGAGATCCAGGAATTGAGCATTACACTTGTTTGATTGCTTCATTAGGGAGGGCTGGACAACTAGAGGAGGCGGAGAGAGTTGCTTCAACAATGCCACTTAAGCCTGACGCCGCTGTATGGCGAGTGTTGTTATCTAGTTCTGCTTATCATGGCAACGTTGACATGGCGCAGAAAATGAGTCGAAAGTTATCGGAGTTAGTCCCGGATAGCGATTCTGCTGATGTGATCTTGTTAAATGCATTTGCAAATGCAGGGAGATGGGACGACGTAAAGGACACTTTGGCAAGGATGGAAGCGAGCAATGTGAGAAGGCATAGCGGAAAGAGCAGGATTGAAGTGCAGGGTCAGGTTCACGAGTTTATATTTGGGGATAGAAAACATGAACGCAGTGGTGAGATTTACAAGAAGTTAGCCGAGTTAATGGAAGAAATCGAGAAGCTAGGATACGTGCCGGTCTGGGATGAGATGCTGCATGATGTAAATCAAGCTCAGAAGAAGGGAGCTCTCTGGAGTCACAGTGAGAAGTTAGCTTTGGCTTTCGCAGTGCTTAGTGGTGCAGCAACGCCTCCGGGAAAGGTTGTAAGGATTGTTAAGAATTTGAGGACCTGTAGGGATTGTCACCAGGCATTCAAGTACTTCAGCATAGTTCTAAAGAGGGAGATATTAGTCAGGGATGTTAACAGATACCACAAGTTTTCTAATGGTAGTTGTAGTTGCGGAGATTACTGGTGATTCGCAGTTTATCAGTAGTCACATTCTTTTACCGAAGACAGTTGTTTTCACGTCTGTTTTAACAGTTTAGAGTTCGAATCTCACCAATCACTACTACGTATAAGAGGACTAATCGGGGTGTAACCCTCAAAGCTAAATTGCGTATCTTTATTAGGAGTACTTCTTTTACACTATTGACAAAATCATCAAAGAATATATAACTAGTAGGATCTTTGATAAATTTCAACTGGTTGTATTTGGTAAAAATGGACTACCTTTTATTTTTCTGCTTCCTAGAATACACCATCCCACGGATCCCATCCGGATCCGATACAAAACCCAAAGGCTTATAAAAACCCAACACCCGGGGCTCCGAATACAGGGCAATGTTGTTGATCCCTTTGGCTAACAGGTCGTTCACCAATCTCTCCATCACAGCCTTTCCCAAACCAAGACCTTGGTAGCTGGGGTCCACCACCACGTCCCAAATGATGGCGTTAAACACGCCGTCCCCCGTCGCTCTAGCAAAAGCCACGGGCCTCTTCGTCTTCTGGTGCTCTATCCACAGCAAAGCGTCGGTGTGCTCCAACGCCACCCGAATCTTATCCGTATCCCGCCTCGGGAATCCCACGGCCACGAAGACGGAGTTGAGGTGATCGAGGTTGAGGGAGTCGATCGTGCGGTGGAGATTGAAGCCGCGCGATGTTAATGCCTCGTCGGAGATTGTTAAGCTGGGGAACGCCGACGTTACCGTGAGCTGCTGCTGCGGTTGGTTTTGCTGAGCTAGAACTACGGCGTTTCTTCTCCGCGAAGTTCTCAGAATGAGAGGAACGCGCTGGGAGACGGCAATGCTGTTGGACAGAAGCATCCTATTCCCCACTCTTTCTTTAAAATGATAATTATTTATACTTTTGTTGTTGTAGGCGGAATGTAAGAAACGGGGTGTTGTCACTGTTGTGGGTTGTGGTATTCGTTCTTCCCTGGTCTGATCCTACTGTGTGAGTGCGTGTTTTCGTAGATAGAGAGTAGACAGATACGACGAGTTTTGGTCAATTTTTTGAGCGGAGCAGTTTTTGTGGTTATTAGAGCCGGAGGACAGGCTGATATTATGTTGCAACTTGCAAGGATATCAACTGTAGATCACAGAATCAGAATGGGGACAATCAAAACGTAAGAGATTTATTTGGGACATATAAAAAACTGCAGTTCTTATGAAGCAACGTAATTGTTGAGACTTAACAACAGTTACGACTGTGAGATGAATCACTGATTATGATCCTGAATGTCCCGTTTCCATCATTATATTCATATTTCATAGCTTATGGAAAAAATAGAAATACCATTTCAAATTACTACTTTTTATGCTAGGCACACCGTACTACAAATAAGACCCAAAAGATTAAATACATTGGGATGAGATTCATAAAAACTGTAAAGTCTAAACTATTGACTGATTAAAGGACCCGAAAGATGCCTTATACAGGCAAATCAAGAGAGGCTCTTTTCGAACATTGAACATTTAGCAGCAAGAGAACGTGATTACAGGAAGGGTTCACACTTCCCAACAATAAAAAGTGTTTTTGAAAGGTAGGAATATAAAACTTATGGTGCCAAAGCACATCAAATTTACGGGGAAGAGAATTTAGTCCTATTGTGCATTCTACACCCTCACCTGAGGCACAGTTACGTGGAAGCTACTCATGCCAACCTAAGTGCATACATCTAACACCTAGTTGCATCTCCACAACTCATTCAGAATGGGACGTCTTACTAAAATGTGTTGATTGTAAATTTATATAAAAAATTAGAGCAAGAGTGAACTAGGTGTTAAACATGTATTGAGTCTACAAGCAGGGGATCAACAATCTACTGTATGCATTTGTCATAAAGAAGAATTTACGAGCAGGGAATAAACAATGTATGTATTTGTCATAAAGAATGAGAAGCCGAGATAGACTGTCAATCCTCATGCTGCTATTTTTCTCATGCTACAATAACCCATAAGCAACTGGGAACTGTTCCTCCCGCATTTTCACGGTTGGTAGCACTATTGAAGCAAACAGAACATGATACAATTGTTCAACTAAAATTGGTAACAGAAAATATGAGCATGGATGGAAAGATATGATCATCACAGTCGACATGAAAGCAACTTGACTAATCCAGAGAGATTACAAGAACAGTCATTAACCACCTACCCCCGCACACTTTTACCCTTTTCAACCCATAAGAGCAAACCAGATCCAACAACCAAGTAACCTGTAAAGAAATAGATGATATTTACAGGGTAAACAAATAAACCCTGAACGGAAAACTTCAGATGAATTTAAATGACAATACCAGTAAATTTCTTGAATAAACAAACACACCAAAGAGAAATCCAACATGACAGAAAAGGCAGTTCAACTATAGCATCACAATCTCTAATTTCAAAGATTTCAAAAGCTATCAATGTGGATCTTTACAGGGTACACAAATAAATTATTCTCAAGAAGGATGATCCAGAAAAACTCAGAGACCTAGCTCCTGTCATTTGCAAGCCAAGGAAAGCAGACTGTGCCAGCTTATTACATATATTGAACGAAAGGTGAAGTTCACTCCTGATTGTTCCCAACTTGCAAGCTGGACACACCTTCAAAAGAGACACATCAGTAGCTCAGGAAAAATTCCGTGCTACCTTCCAATGTGCATATGGTCTGAGACTGTACTCTAATGTCAATACTTGTTTGAGCCCGTGATTAAAAAAAACAGAAGCAAATAAACACCCTTTTTTACACTAAAACCAAACCATTTTATAGCAATCAAGTCGAGAATTAGACTCTCCATCCCCAGAAGATAGCAGGGTGCTAAACAAGTCGCATCATCTAATAACTCTTCAAAAAGAAGAAAGCATAATGAAAACATAAATAGTTATGCTTCATTAGCTCTAAACATTTCCTCATCTACTAACAGCCTCCCCTGGGCGTATCAGTAACTAAATTCGCAGCTGCGGCAGACGTAGAGGATAAGCCAATTCCAGACAATGTAAATGTTTTTATTATCACACTATCTCTATCGATTATGCTAGGTATCATTGCATCACGAATTCAATACCAACAAATCCTTAGAGCAATATTCTTTTCTACAAAACAAATTAGAATAACAATAACTTTCATCATCAAGTCAATTCCTCCAAGGCTAAAATATGGATCTAAAAGTCTTTCAAACTTGCATTCAATACCAACTCCTTCAAGCAACTGTCAGCTTTCACGTAATCAGTATCACCTTACAAAACTAACAAGTCCAAACAAAGCTCCATTACTCGAATTACCATCACATCACTTATATAAAGCACCAAGTCTCCAAGTGTGTAAAGTCATATACAAGATCAACCAAGTTCCCCAGCTCATAACATCCACAAGAAAAAACTGCAAGAGGGGCAATCATTGGAATATGATCACAATGAGTAGACATCACAATGCTCGAAAATAACACAACAAACAAGTTTAAATATCTTATACAAGTATCAAAATTAATCCAATCAAATACGAGGACAATATTAGTCTCACAGTGATAGCCCATATTATCAAATCCTAAACAACCGCGTAACAGCAAAAAAGACCTGGAGTTTCAACATTAATCTAAATCCTTAAACATCGAAATGTCCGAAATAGGGGGCTTCCAATAAATTAAAAACTAAAGCAAACCCACAAATCAGATTCCTCAATCCTGGGCCTTGAGCTTCTCCACGCGGTTGTTTAACTGCTCAATCCGAACGATGAGACCAGTAACGGAGTAAAGCAGCCAGTAGAAGACGAGGGCAGCGGCGATGAGGAGAGCATTCCTCTGGGACTTCATGATGGACTTCTGATGGCGGAGATGCTCGGATGGGGTGCAAGATTGGGCCTCACAGGTGGGTCGGGTCTCGTACTTCCAGTAAATATCCATTAACAGGAAGAGACAAAAGGGGACGATGGAGAGGAAAGGCTTGAGAAGGCTGCGGGTCACGGAGAGGAGTCCCTTGCGAAGCGGGTGGAGACCCGGGACCGTGAGGAGGAGAAGCATGATTGCTTCGGCTCCGGCAGCATAGCCTAGCACCACCCACTCTAACGCCATACTTGATCGGATCTCTGTTAGCTTGCTTGCGTGAGAGAGAGATTTTGTGTGAATAGGACAGCGGAATCTGGAAATTAGTGGGCGTTTTGCGAAGTTTGATGAGAAGGAGAAGGGAGGTATATTTTCTTTTCTTTTTCAGCTTTTTCTAATCTAAAGTATTTGTACAATTGCTATTTGGTACAGCAGACAGGTGTATCTCTCTTATTGGTTCCCTGTGTTTTCTTTATTTTCTTTTTTCTTTATTATTATTTTTTTTGGTATAGAATTTCTATGGGCAAAACCCACTTTTGGTCCCCAATGTTTAGGGGGGAGTTCAGGTCAGTCACCATAAATTTTTATTCAATGAAATTAGTCACCATAAATGTTATCCCATCAATTTAGGTCTTTTTAACAGATTTTGTAGAAACTTAACAGAAATTCTTCTTAAAACGTTAAACTTGTGTTATTTTAACCATTTTTTACAGACCGCAGGCCCCATGAACTTTGACTATGTTACTTATTTTATTTTATTTCAATTTTCTTTCTTCTTCTTCCGTTCAATGATAGAAAGATAATTCCTCCCAGAAATTTCATGGACTTCTTCCACCTCTACAGCATTTATCGCCTCTCTCCGCCAATATTTTGCAAAAAAAGTAATTCCAAACCAACCTTGCTCTGCCGCTAAATTACTCCATCGTCGGTGAAAAATCTGCAGCCACATTTCCTAACCATCGCACCCTCATTAAAACTCCAAGATCTCATATCTGATGATGAAAAAGGTATAAGGAGTTGCATTATTACTTCTATTTTTGTAAACCAGGATTTTTCTAGTTGGTCTCAAAAAGCCGAATTTCGGATTGATTATTAGCCCATACGATGTTTGATGGTTGATGTGTGGAAATTGGGTTTGCTAAAAACATGGGATGATAAGATTATTAATTTTTAGAGATTAATCTGACTAATATTAGTACCAATAGAAGTATTGTTTGTTAAGAAAAACTCAAACAAGTTATTATGATTATGATAAAGGCTTGTTTTTTGTGGTCGCCGTTGATGAAGAATAGGAACAAATTCCGCCCAGGCCAACCTTTTCACTAGCCTGCATAATTAATAGTTTAGTACTGATAATAAATTTTTTGTTTATTTATTTTTGTTTTGGACAAAAAAATCATAACCAAATCCCTTTTCCCCCAATTTATAAGGTGATGTTGCCTATACATAATTAAAATTAATCAGAGAATATATATATATATATGGAAAATTCATTTGCCAAAAGAAATTTGGACAATGATTGTTTAAAGGAAAAATTATGTTGCATATTTTGAGTCTTTTTAATCCCAATCTCCAAGTTTCTGATGATGCTAAAGCAACTGAACCAATTACTGCTTTATCACCTGTCATGGGTTTGTCTTGTGACGATCAATTATTGATGATGATGCTAAAAAGGTTCAAGCATGTTCTCAACACTTATTATTTTCATTCTTTTTTTTTTCTATTTCTAGAATAATTAAAATTTAACGAAAATAGCAGACTTCATATTAGTCAAAAAATAATAAAATATTAGATAGTTAATGGATTAAGCGTAGCTGCCGTTAAGTTTTCATAACTTCTGATAAAAAAACCTAAATTGATGGGATAACATTTTATGGTGACTAATTTCATTGAAAAAAAATTTATGGTGACTGACCTGAACTATCCCCTAAACATTGGGGACCAAAAATGGGTTTTGCGCAAAATTTTTTTTTTTTTCTCAACTTTTATGTTTTGGTCACGTTTGGGTGAATTGCGTAATTAAAGTTTCTGTTCAACTCAAAAATGTGAAAACAAATTTGGAGTTTTTTGGAGTAAACCTTAGCACCTAAGAATCAAGCAAATTAATCTCGTGTAGACTTAGAAAATGACAATTTTGCGAGGTTCTGCACTAGTTTTTGCACTGAACTGATTTTTGATGGACAAATTCACAAATGAAATCGAGACTGGAAGTTCATAATTTTTCCATAGATTCACAGAATGGAATACAACAAATGTAGCCCAAGCTTCGTTTAAATGTTCAAGGTAGCTTTTATTGAGCATGATTTGATTATTATGTAACAACAACAACAACAATAACAGAGGCTAATCAAAACATGTGGGAATTCTAGAGCTTGCTAGTGATATTTATGTTCCTGATTTTAGCTGGTTTAGGAGTTGCATCTTTGGGTACAATCACTGTAAGCACCCCGTTCTCCACGCTGGCCTTGATCTGATCCACCTTCACATCCTCCGGCAGCTCAATTTCCCGGTAGAATCCAGACTTGCCGGCCATCGCCCCTCCGCCTCTCTCCGCCACGTGCCACACCACATCTCTCTCCTTCCCAGGTCCTTCTTCTTTCCCTTCCGCCGCCTTGATCACCAGCACATTCCCTTCCTCCACTTGCACCTTTACATCATCCTTTCCATACCCTGTTGAACGCAATTCAATTCAATCAATTAAAAAAAGTAAGCCCAATCAAATTAATCAATTAAGTGAATTAACTCACTATTCAGGAATTGAAAAGTTTGACAATCAGAACCTGGAACGTTTATTTTGAAGATGTGCTCCTTTGAGGTCTCCAGCCAATCGAGACGCCCAGCTGAACTACCAATGATGGATGAACCGTGATACACTGCGGGACTCCAGAAAAACCGTCTGAAAGGGTCTCCGAACATGGCCATTTTTCTTGTGTGTTGACTCTTTTTCGAATTTTCTTAGGCTCTCAGTGATTTTTAATGTCCCAACTCCTCAAGTGTATTGACAGTGAAAGGTTAGCACAATATTATAGCGTTCTCCAGAGTCATCTTTCATACACTAGTATCTGGAACCTTCTTGTGCCATTATCCGTTGCATTGAAGAAGATGACATAAATCACACTAGTAACCGGAAATGGTAAACGAGTTTTGCTTGATTTGGGCCCATTTCGATAAGACAATCATACTTTCAGAACGGACTCTGTTAACTTATGGGCTTTTGATTCATGTATAATTGCACTAATGACTACAGTGTTGTTCTGCTGATAAGCCCCACCTAGTACACCTATAGTCCCAATTGTGATTGTCTCAAGTCCTTGATATTATGGCCCACCTTTATGTGGAGGGCTCAATAAGAGTAAGACGACGGACATATTTCTTTCGATACATCTGTAAATTATTTTATAGTTCAAATTTTCATTTCTATTTATAATAATTTTGTGATAGAGGAAGTATTATTCTATAATCGAAATTACTATTATACGCTTTAGTGGCTCGGTAAAATTTGAGATACTCTCCAAAAGGTTTAGTCACATTTGACATCTTCTTAGTTAACAAATCTGCAATAAAATTTGCTCTCTATCAATGATTCTTAACTTTGTTTTTTTATCACGAGGATTTATGCATTTACATAAGTATATGGGGTTACACCTCAAAACCAATTGACAGAAATAGCCCATAGAGCTTATATATTGATAATCAGAGTCTCCCAACACTGATGTGGGATTGAGACTCTTTAATACTCTCCTGTAAGCCCAACGTATGTTGGGTTGGATTTCTTTTTTACTTTTTTAGCACAGGCATCGCCTCACGTCTCAATCCTTATTTTTTTGTTGGGCTTTTTGGAGTTCAAATGTCGGCGGATTGGCTCTTATACCATACAAAAATTCATAGGGTTGCACATCAAAACCAATTAGCAATGAGGGAAATAACCCATAAAACTTATATATTGATAATCAAAGTCTCCCAATACTGACGTGAGATTGAAACTCTTTAATAGCATTGAGCCATTGACTACCAACATCCATTATGATCTTTACTTCCCCGAAGAACAAAATCTTTAAATGTTTGCATTTCATTTGTTTCTTTCCTCCACAATTAATAAACTCTAAAAGAAATGTCATCAAATTGATTATGATTTGTTGAAATTGTGAAGCGTCTTCTGTTTCATTCCGATCTTAAAAGATTTGCAGAAACTAGCAAGCCTTAGGGGCAGAACCATTAAGGGGCTCGGGGGTCTCCAGACCCCCCGCCAGCCGGAGTACCACGGAGTAGCTCTAGCCGTAGTCCCAGATGGCTCTGCAATGATATTTAGCCCCCTAAATTCTCAAAGTGAGGGGCAGCTGGAGGTAGAAGACGACACTGTTTTACTTTTTCAACCTCTAATTTTTTGTTTAACCTAGCCCAATTGTTTGATTAGTTAGTTCAGTCCAACTTAGGTTCCTTGAAATTCATTCAGACCTCATCTCTTACCTAAAAAACAGGTCCAAATGTCCAATATTCTTCTCTTTTTCTAATATTTAAAGAAGTTAGAAAGCCCAACCTACCACTAAATAAAAAATCCTAGTGGCAATTCGATGACATTTTTTTTCCTACAAAACAAGAAACAAGGGCTTCGTATTTATCTTTCTTTTATAGGATTTTTCTATTTAGAATTTAGTTACATTTTTCACATTCTTAACTTAAAAGAGAAGAAAAATACATTCAGTAAGAGAAAAAATATTTCTACCAGAAAGAAATAAAAAAAAGAGTCAAAATCACGGTCTATCCTAGAAACTGACTTCCATTTAGCTAATTGTTGTAACACCTCCTGTTAAAAATTATTTTAATATCTTTTAAGATTAGTAATAAAAAAAAATTGTGTAAATTTTTTTTTTCTCGCTACAACCTAGTAGACGGTCAGCCCCGAACATGAGAGGCTGGTTCCGCCACTGGCTGGCCTCGTATATAAAAAAGGGACAGTGAATTGTGAAAGTCATTATGCTTCTTCTGTAGTCGAATGCATATGCTTTGCACAATAGAAAAATGAGTCGTGTAAATTTATGTACTTCAACCAAGGTCCATGGATTTTTGAAGAACTACCATCTGATTTTTTGGCATTTGATTACAAGATAATCAATTCAACAGAAATTATTTGATTTTATCCTGTTTGACCTACACAAATCAGATAATCGGGTTGCATGATTGATCTATCAACATCCCATAAAAAAGCTAGCTAGTGGTTTTGTTTTTAAAAAGAGAAACAAGAGCTCGTTTCTTCCCTTTTTCCAGTACAGTATTTACGAATAGTAGGACCCAGGTTCTTAATCATATTTAGTTTTATACTCCATCCGGAGGTAACAACTGACCGTTACTTAACTACAAAGCTAAAACCGCAATCAAGAGTCAATCAATTTAGAGTGCTGGAGAATGGAGAATATATAGCCTCGCTAACTCATTAATTATTTGTAAAGCCACAAATTCTAAGATTGTATTGAATCACCTAACTTGTGTTTTATACTGTTCAAGTCCGCGTAAACTTTTTGCTTTTTGCTTCAGTCAGTATTTCCCATAAACGCTCTTTTTATCTCAAAATAAGATTTTAATCTGTCTATTGTACTAAAATAATACATGAAATAAGAATTTTATTCTGAGACAGAGAGTAAACACAACATGTTTTTTTTCCCTGTTTGATTTAAATGCTATATATGTTATTAGCTAGGCCGGTCTGCCTGTTAAGAGCTTTACAGCAATAGGGTTTTACTTACAATGCCTTTGGCGTTGTAATTTCATTCTTAATTCCAAATTTCCAACATGAAACCATGCAAAAAGATTGGTGCCCCTTGATGATGGTGATGTTGGCTATCTACTCGTCAAATCATGTTCTTATAAATCCACTTTTTATCATCGATCTATGCATGCAAAGTCTAAATGTTTTACTTGGCCAATAATTTTCTTGGTGTTTAAGTATTGTTATTAATATTTGTATAAAAAGCTAGCATAGCTTTTGATATAAAGCGAGTGCTTGAGAGAATATACAGAATGATTCGTTTCTTTTTATTTATGAGACTGTAAAGTAGAGTGTTAGTACTGAAAAAAGATCATCACTTTAAAACATGTCATCCACTATGGCTCTTTTAACTTAGCAGCATTGTCCAAAAATGGTGTCAACTTCTCAAATGAAATGAATTAAGGGGTGTTGTCTTTTTCGGAATCTTAGCAATGTCAATTTGTCAATCATCATTGCAATCCTGTGAGATAAATTAATATTGACAGGATCGTGCGTTGCAATCCTGTGTTGGTTCTTGAATTCCATTCAAGAGATGTGAACGTGAATGAGCTCGAGATATCCTCAGCTTTGTTGCAGAAATTCATCTTCCACATAATTAATAGGGAGTATTCAAAAGAGTTTCTCAATTCTTAACTAATCTACAGCTGGCTTTTACACTGTGCTTCGGCCTTTGCTTCCTCGCCTTATGAGTAATTGTGTTCGTGTTGCACTACATGTTTGATGTTTTTAAATTCATGCCTTTCGGGGGTGCTCTTTTAAAAGTGCGATACTTTTGTTTTTCTTACATACTTATTATGTGAATTAAACCACATTTAAATATATATATATATATATATATATATATATGGTCCTAACCAAATTTTTAGTGTTACATGGACCATCATTTCAGAAAAAAATAGTCTAATTCGGGAGTGAGATATATAGTGTTAATAAAGAGGAATAAATGAAGAATGTATTGCGTGAACGTTGGAGAGGCATCATACAGAGATCTATCATATGGTCCTTTACAAAGGAATCTGCATTAGACATTGAACATTGCTACAATACTTGAAGTGGAAACACATCCTTTTTTACTTTTTTTCCACCTTTTAAAACTTTGTTTTGTAGCACAACACTTTTCCTAGAGACATCTTTACATCTTTGATTCCCATCAATGATCCATCTCTTTTAGGATAAAAATAATGAAATATAAAGTAAGTTTCAAATAAACAAATCCTGCAGGAAAAAGAAGAAATACAAAACCAAAGCAAAATGCTAAAAGAGCTATCAAAAAATCAATTTTGGAGTCGTAGACACAAGAATAATTTCTATTGAGATTCCTGGTCAATGTAGTTATTACTGTGGTCCGAAGAGTTTTTGTACTTCATTTACCTGCCAAGTAGAATGAGGGAAAGCCGAAAAAAGAAGTCAAAATTTTACAAAGAGGAAGAAGAAGAAAAAGAAATAAACGAGGAAGAAGAAACATGAATAGTACTAGTATAAGCTAAATTAGAAACTCACCATTTCCACCAAATGCCCTTCTCATAAATGTGGCCAATATGATAATTAGAGCCACCCCAGCTAATAATCCAATGATGATTGCAAATGTTTTCTCAGACTCTGTGTGAGAATCTGCCGATCAAATAAGAAAAAAAGATTCATCAAAATCAAACTAATCGACTATCAAAATGTCTTCAAACAATAATCTCCATCTAATCTAATCACGATCGTAACTAGTAAATCAGGTAATTGAGTATTTCATTTATTCCAAAATGATTGTCTAATTTAGATTTTTATTTTTAGTGCAAGATGTATATGTTTTTGGATGACGGAATCAAATTTGACGAGTAAAAAGAAGTGTCAAGATCTATAGTAGCGCGACATATGTTGAGTATTAGTGATTAAATGTTTTAAAAATGCAACAATTGTTCACTTTTACAAACAGTAAAAGTGTAATATCAGCTTTCCATAATCCCGATTGAAAGAAAATGTGGTCCATTAATTTAATACAAAGCAAAGACATGAATGAGAAAGAAGAGTGAAAAGTGAGGAGCAAATAGAATCCAACCATGATCGGAACGTGAGGAAGCATAAGCATGAGCTCCACCGGTGGAGTAGCGCGCGTAACACTTGGCCAAGAACATATCCCCATAAACCCCACCCCCACACTCACTCCTCAGCCGTTTGATCGACTCCGACAAACAATCCTGACACTGCCCGGCGTTCAAATCCCCAACGCACTGGGCCAATCCCTGAACATCCTGGGCCCCTCCAACCCTATAAAGCCCACCGCCGGCGCCCAAGCTCCCTAGCACCGCGTCGCGCCGGCCCATGGACTCCGCGTCGTACCCGTTGGGCGACGGCCCGCATTTCTTGGTCACCACCGTCTTATCTTCCTGGCCTACGAAGCTCGTGTTGTCGTACTTGACGAAACAGCCGTCCAGCTGGATCGCGCCGCCGCAGTTGTGGGAGCACAAGCTGCCGAACTGGCTGACGGCCCGGGCGACGCACATGGCGCAGTCGGGCATGGATAAATCGCCCCGGCATTGGTACAGGCCGTAGATGATATCGTTTGGGCTTGAGCCCACGACGGAGAACTTGTTGTAGGCGGCGTAAGTGGCGGAGTTGACTAAGGAAGTGAGGAGGGAGTTGAGGTTGGACTCGTAAGGTGAGTTTGGGATGTATTTGATCTGTGAACAGCCAGCGTAGATGAAGGAGTCTATGGAGGATTTGGAAGGAGAAATGAAGAAGAGGGTAAAGAGACAAACAAGTTGGGTGAGGAAGGAAGAAGGACCAAGGTTTTTTGTGGCCATTTTTTTCTGAAAGGGAAAGAAATGAAAGAGAGGAAAATATGGACTTATTATGGGGAGAGCGTATTAATTTTTTGCATGCAAAGTGATCTGTGAGAGTGGCAACATCGATGCATGTGATGAATCTTTGGAGCTATTTATAATTTGTTGGGATGGTCGATTCCAGTTTATAACTACATGTATTATGTATATTCTACTGAATGAAAAAAAAAAGAAAAAGGATACTAAAGGTAATGTATGGGAGATCTATAAAGCTGGCTGAAATGTGACCCTATACTATGCGTAACTACTAGGTTCATTAGCTAGCTGATTAATCATGAAAAAAGCTGGGAGATTTGAGGAAATTTTTTTTACAGCTTTTCAGATTCAAAATTAAGATGAAACAGATCACGTCTCATGTCTAACACCACAATCCGATCAGTTTTAATCAGGAGAGGTAAAAAAATTCTTATGATAGAAACCGTAAATATATGTGTTACTCATGCAATGCAAAATAATCAATTCAGATGTCTTAAAAGATGTGTTTTAATTTCTTGGCGTGAGACGTCATTACCAATATGATTTCACTATTTTGATCAATACTAGTAATTAATAAACTTCCGTCATGCAACAAAATGTAAAAGGAAAATTATTTTTTTAAAAAAATAAAATTGATAGATTGATGAAGTTGGTTAATTAGCCGGTGATTCCTGAGCATGTAGAGAAGAAAGGTCGGTCAAGTTTATGATTATTGATTAAACACGGATGGAGCAAGATCCAAGAATTATATACTAGCTTGTTTGGGAGTTGTAACTGATCAAATCGAAGGGCATCGCAGACAAAGAAACCTGTACATATGAGTACTATTTGCCCCTTTCGATTTTCTTGCTTTGCGATAGGCTGGACATGACTCATGCCCCAAAAAGTTTCGTTACGCCTTTCCTTATTTTCTAAGTTTTTCACTTTTACGGTTTTACCACATTGCCTCACCAACTGTACTACTCATCATATATATATACATAATAATATGACGGTTGATATATACTGCAGATTTGTCGAAACCTATACATTCCCTTCGTCCCAAATAGTACAACGAACATAATACTCATTTTGAAACGAATATGGAATACTAGTTAATCTAATGCGATGACTATTTAATCTTACCTAGGTAGCAAAGGCAAAAGAAGAGGAGATGGTACATAGAATGTCACAATCCAAAATGTCTTTTACGGTTTAATTGCAGTTTGTCTTCAAGTTTGTTGTTTTTCTTGGGTTCACAGGCTCACAGCTACACGTAATTTTGGTGGAGGTTCCGACCGAACCATTGTCACTTTCCAGCCCTCTTCAGTTATTATTCCCCTTAGGATCAGGCATATGATGAACGGCACCATATCCAGCACCACCACATGCTCACCTATCTTTGCCTAGTCTTTACGAAAAATTGCAAATAATATTACGTTAATTCATACTTGTATAATAACTAAAACAATACAATATATATATATATATATATTATGCTTCCACTATTCAAAGTTATTATTGCGACTAATTCGGATGTGAATATCTAGACACCACAAAGTGTTAGGGTATTAGAGAGAAGGACATCAGTCAAGATGTTATAGGATTCGAGCTGAACGAGACTGTCACCCTCTCTATGGCATCTCGTTCTAGGGAATTTGGGCCCAGACCACCGCAGAAAACGTCTTTCCAGGCTACAATTCGAATGACAAAATAATCCGATTGCAAATTTAAACTATTCTCAGTTAGCTCACCATTACTAAGAGAATTCTTATTAATTTCTTTCTCCGCTTATTGGTATGCTTAAACTTAGCGAGTAGTCCTACCAATCCTGGGGTCATAGTCAAGGGTTTTGTGGGCTCCAAGGTCTTTGAGATTGCTTTGTGTTATGTTCCTTTCGAGAAATATATTCTCTCGCAAGAAGTATTTAATTACTATTGTAATTTTATGGAACTTAAATCATAATTAAATTGGTCCAAATATTACGAACATATATGTTTTTTTCAAGTGGGAGCTGTATCTTTTTTCATACCTAATTAACATCATTCAAGATTAACTTGACAAATTCTTAAAGCAAATACAGAGCTGCCAAGTACATTAGTTCATAATAGATATCTCTCCGTCTTCAGTTGTAAGGAGGATCAATGGAAGGGCCCAATCTCCAGAAGCATATTTGTACTACAACTTACCTGTTAGAAACAAATCTGTTTATTTACCATTAAAGGCCCAGACTCGGTGATCACATTTGACAGGCATTATGTCGCCAGTTTCCAGGAAATGGACCAACATTTTTGCGGGCTTTCTGTTTAATTATCATGTTCAACCATATTATTGTGCAGACTTTCGAATTAACCATTGGAGTAGCTTAGCTCTTCAATATTACTTGTCTAAAAGATGTTAAAAAAGAATACATTACCATAATTATTTTTTTTTCTCAGTGATTCTATATGAAAAAAAGAGAGTATTGTGCAAAGGATTAGTGATCGGCAAGAGATTGGGAAGTACCTATAGATGTGTTGCGAGAATTGGATGTAGTGTGATTTATAATATCCGTATGCAAATAACTAAGAAGGGCCAAAATTGAATGGAAACCAAAAGTAGAGGAAATACAAAAGTCATTTAAGGTTTGATATCAAGATATTTGGTACTTGATTGTCCTCTTAACTAAGTAGTCATCATAATCAATAGCACTACGACCTCCATCTCCTCCTTCTTTTGAAGTACATTCCGATCTTTTTGCACAATTATGATTACCGGTTGTGGAAATCCAATTTCACGAAAATGAAGCCGGCCGGGAATTACACAGATTTGGGTTCCTCATTTTCATCAATTTTTCTGGAGTTAGTTAAATCTAACTCACAAAAGAGGGTCATTCATCCTACTTGACAAAAACCTTCGGTATCGTCATTCGTCCATTAGCAGGCTCTATGTATATGTACCTCTAAAACATTTACAAATTGCAACGCCTATTGTCCTGTACTCCGAGGGGGAAACCACACCCCAAATTTGCCTCATTCTCATTGGTCGTTAACCCTTTCACTAGCGTTTCTAAAGCACCACTCATCCAATCTTGCTTGCATTCTTTCCTAGCTTCTTTTACGCTCATCTGTCACAAAAAATAAATAAAGAATTTGAGACTAATAATTGTGTACAATATAATCAAGAGTCGGCAAAAAATTATACTATCTGTCCCAAAAAAAATAGTCTATACTGTGTGGATTTTTTTTTTCTTTTTTTGGATAGAGGGACTAATATATAAGAAAGCAAGAAGATTAATTACCCAGATTCTTTGGCGTTTATCTTGTTCTGGCCAGAACTCCAGTTGCTCTTTCACTAATAATCCAAACATGTAACTTTCCTTCTTTTGGCCTTTCCACTTGCCCAAATACATCTGACCGAAAAAAAAAAAAAATCACCCTAAAAGTTAGAAATGGAATTAGGTGCAATTTTGAATTAACTTTAGGTTTAAATAGGGTTTTTTTTGTTTGATAAACTAAATTGGGGGTTGTTTTTAAATACAATAAGAAGGAATATATAATACTCCTTCCGTCCCGTAATTATTGTTCAGTTTGGATTTTCATTTTTAGTTTAAATTGTACTAAAAATAAAATCTCAAATTGAACAATAATTTTGGGACAGAGGAAGTATTTAATTGGAAGAAGAGTACTAACCGCAAGATCGCCCACAACCCCAGCTTCCTCTACTGTCTCTCGTTGTGCCGCTTCTTGCATGCTTTCATCTGTCTCCCAACCTCCCTGATTATATCAAAATCCGTCAGTAATAATTCTGTGCTGAAGCTTAAAGTTAAAGTAAAATAATTTTTTTAAAGAAATACTTTTTCTCTTTTAAAAAATCATATTCCTCTTATTTAAGAAAAATAGTCCACTTTTATTGTACTGTTTTGGCTTGGCCGTATCAGATTCTTAAATTTTATTAGCCTCCATTTACCCTTGGAAACAGGAGTCCTTTGCATTTCCGCTTTGCACTAATGACAAGAACTTCAAGTGAATCCTCATCCACAAAGGATGTCTTGTTGAGTGGTAATTTGTATCTATATGGGATACATCTGCACAAAGAACAACAATATTGATGAGAAACCATTGTCCACTTTTCTTTTCTTTTTCGATTTTATTCATATCACTAGAAAAACAAAAGTAACATACACATCTACAAAACTACTCATCTACGTACATTCAGACACAATTGGGATAAATCAATCTTGTGTGAGTGATAAAAATCGTAAGGCACTGCATATAAGTTCTCAGATCAAAAATCACAAGAGGTTGGGGTCATAAGACAATCAGCTTCAACGACAAACAAACCAAATTTCAATCATAGTAGTAGGAATTAGGAGAAAACTTGACTAATCCGATGCCACTTTTTCCATTGTTCATGGAGAACCAAGCACTTCAAGATGCAAATGAGTGGAACTTTCCTTCTCTATCTTTTTTTTATTTTTTATTTTTTTATTTAAACAAGTTCATACACAAATGTCTCCAATCATTAATGATGTTGCATATATAAAATTATCAAAATTTTCAACAGTCTTAATTGCAGTATATTTCCTGGAAATTATCCCTCTAGGCTATTAACGGTAGGCATCTAGTCAAGAGTTGATGCTCATGTATTAAAAAGACTAGGTACGGTACTCTACAATTTATTTTATTTGGTCCACAACAGTAGGCCACAAGCAGCAAAACAAAACAAGATGATGATGTTATTAACCCCCATCTTCTAATGTTTCCTAACAACCCAAAACAATACATTTCATTCAGAGGAATTGAATCAATAATTTAAAGATTACAATGACTTCCGTATGGATGGAAATTGTGATTTAATGAAAATTTAGCTACGGCACTAATGGATTTCTGTGAAATGAAAGCGAAACATTAAAAGATATTTTTGACAAGTCTGCATTTTTCAACGTTTGAAGCTTTGATATCACCAGGAATTCAAACGTACGTACGGTTAGAATTCTGGGCGTTGAAGTTGAACTAGTCCTACAAATGATGCACAACCAATGTGGGTTTTGGAATGATTCTGTTGTGGAACATTCAAATCAATGTTCGCAATACTTTTTCCGTCCCAAAATTAAAACTCTGTCTGTTGAAATAATACAACAAACATAACGCTGTTATTCTAGGACGAAGCAGATACAAGAAAGTGATAGGAAGGTGAGATATTCCGCAAGTGAATCACAAACCAATCCAGTTGATGTACTTTATGCTTACTTTTATTTTCTTCTAACAAGTGAAAAATTCCTCTTAAACGATTCTCCGGAATGAAGAGATTAAATAAGACTAAAGTTATATTTCCCTCAATTGCATATACTTTTGGGAATTAAGGAACCAGTCTAGCCTGCAGATTGTCAGGTTCATCGTCATTATCAGTGGTCAGCCACAAAACCTCATCAAAATAGTGACATTTTACAATCATTGTTGGACTATTCTTCGAGTAACCACTCCATTGTTTTGCACAAAATTAAGCACGTGCATATCGAAATGGACCCCCTTGATTAAATAGGGGTAACTCTTACCAAAAGTGTATTATCAAGAACAACAAACAATTAGGGGCTAGGGATAAACCCCATAAATTGAGAATTGAAATCCCAAAATAAAACGTTAAAAAAAAAAAGGATAAAACAAACGCTGACCGTTCACATTTGAAAGAGCCAAAATAGCAACTTGAAGATTTTTTTTTTCCCACTTTCCCGAAACAACTTGGAAGAAGTGTGAACTTAATTAATTTGAAGATTATCATACTATTTATTAGAAAAAAAAAAGAAAAGAAGAAGAAGAAGAAGATTATCATACTACAAAAAGCCGGGGGAAAAAAAAGGAAAAAGAAAAATAAGGGGCCGTTCATGCAAATCAGCAAATGGAAGAATTATTATCAAGAAAAGAAAGAAACTAAACTAACCCGACAACAACTCGAGAACCTTTGTCGTAACGCTGCAAATGTCTTCCAGTACGAGAAACCAAAGCAACCATGTTCTTCAACTCCATTGATGATAGAGTCTTAACTATCTTATGTACAAAAGTTGGTTAGTCCTAGCTAGAAGATGAAAAACTTCCCAATTCCTGGGATCAAATTATGATGAAACCTTAAAAGGGGACAATATATGTTTCTTCTGCCCGGCTGAAGTATATGTTGTTCAGATGGCATCCGGTGGGAAGCGGAAACGGTTAAAGAAGAGAATAATAAAGCAAAAGTAGAAGAAACAAACTCACACTGCTATCCTTTATAATAGTTCTAGTAGTACTAGTAGTCGTCTTGTTCTCTTTATTATTCTTCATAAAAAAAAAAGAAAAGATTATTAATATATAGAGAGAGATGTGGAGACAATTTTTGGAGTTTATTAAATGAGAGTTATACAGAGAGAGAAGACTTTGAAGGAAAGAGCGAAGATGAGGCGACTTAAATGCTTTCTTCAGTTTCGGCTTGTGAGAGAGAGAGAGAGAGGGGAACTGCAGAGTAACTACGTGTCGCTGACTCGTCTTTGGTTCGCGCTTTATGTTTTTGTAATTTTTTTTGTCTCAAATTTTCTCTTATTTCGGTTCTTTCTAAAAAAAAATAGTCTATATTGAATTTTTAAATTTGTACTAAAAACAGTATAAAATTCAAAATTCAATATCGACTATCTTTGTGGGACGGAAAGAGTAAAAAACAGTTAATAGAACTAATATTGCGACTCTTATTTTATCAATGAATTATAAATTACAAATTAAAATTTAAAAGGTTTTACATTTATGTCGTATAACTAGAACCGTAAGAGTTAGTATGAAAGGTCTTATACTCTTATACATTTTCAATTTTTATTGATATTTAATACGTATACTACAACCAATAGGACAACACCAAAGATTATCAAAGACTAAAAAAGTGATACAGTATTTAATTGCGATTACGCATGCATAACATCCAAAACATGAATAAAATTTAGTTAGATAATGGACCACTTTTTTGAGCTAAGGAACAAAATTAATGTCATTCTTTTGTTAGAAAAAGATCGAGTAATACAATGCCGTTGTTAAAAAAAAAAATTGTCGTATTTTTTATGGATCGTTCTTTACATCTCGTCCAAATTTGTCAATTTTGATATCCAAACATCAGTGAAATAATTCAACTAAAATGGAAGTTACCATTTGTGACCGCACATGTAAAAATTGCTCAAAATCAAATTGAATTCAAAGTACTCCCTACAGCAAGAGCAAACAATTATTATATTGATTATTAAGAAAAAGTGAGAATATGATTGAATTTTCCTGTCATGTACATGCTGCAACTTGGATAAATTCGTCACAAACAAATCAAAATCATAATTATATCATCCCCAAATTACTAAAATAACTGGGCATTGACTATTGAAGTTGAATTAGTGTTAGTTAGGACTTAATGTTTAACATAACAATGTAAAAATGGACTCTCAGATACAAAAACAAAAATGATCACATCAATCAACCAGATCATTATATAAATGGAAAACAGCCATTCTGCGCCAATAAGAAGTAAAAAACTATCGGTATAATCCTATAAATTGTGGGCTAGCGTAATTTGGAGATATCATGAGAGTGATTCGATGATAATAAGAGAGACGCAATAATTGAACTGGTACATATTGTACAAACTTTGCATAATATTATTTCAATAATTATCAATTGTGTTATGAGGAAAAAGAAGGATTAATAAATAGGTAGGAATATCTTTTTCTCATAATTATACCTTAATATTTGTTTATAACAAGATGATGGTCCATCTTCAAGTTATGTCATTATTAAATTTTCCTTAGCATTATTAGCCTCTATATAAATATTACAAAGACATATTTATTTGACATATTTAAGTATGAAGGCGACTAGTTGCGAATAAATAATGCCGGAGAGGTGAACCGGATCGCCGGATAAATAGGAAACGGTCGGGAATTTGCAAGGAAAATGGGGCAAATAATATCAAATACCTAGGTATACCTTGCAAGGTGTACCTAATGGGTATGTGTAATACACTCTCTTTCTATACACGTGGAGCTTTTAGTCCTGAATTTATGACACTACACGCGCATTAATTCCTCCAAATTTTATCCCCTTTTTTAGCACATATTTAATTTCAAACTGTTATCTTTTTTAAGACACTCATTATGGATGAATATTCCAAAAAAAAAATACAACAACAAACTGATGTTCAACGACAACAAATTGATGAAAAAATCAGGCTGATGAATAATACCCAGATCTATTATCGACGATGAATATTCCATTATCAACAATGAAGAACGATATCGAAATGATAAATAATGCCCAGATTATTAATCTCTTCTAAAATTAACAATAAATTGATGAACAAAACTAAGAAATTAATGAATAAATATTTATAATCGAATGGACACACATTATATCTACATAACCCGACCAAAAAACACATCAATTATTGAAGAGATTAATAATATCACCTTCTTCTCTCTTCAGTCATCGAGTTGCTCTTATTCGAATCAGAGTACACAATCGTGGCCCTGCTCATGAATATTTCAGAAAAAATATCATTATTAAAACTTCATACATAAAAGAAACAAGCAAAACCGATGAATAAAATAATATATTACCTTAATTCTCATATTCAACAACATATATTACAAACAAACTCAAGGGATTTGATGCATAACCGGATTCGCTGCAGAGATGAAATTTGGATTTTTAGATTTTTTAGTTTGAGACGTTTTTGGATTGAATGAAATAGGATAGATATGGTTAATGATGGCTAAAAATTAGGAGAAATATCAGAAAATGAATATTTGAAAAATCTTTTTTTTTAAACCCTTTTTGGGCACGTGTGTTACAACCTAGGTACACCTTGCGAGGTGTACCTAGGTGTTTTATATTATAATTGGGGAAAATGGTGGTGGTTATTTTATATTTCTACTAGTAATTTTTATTTTTATGTTTTTGAATCAGAGAAGGCGGTTGAGATACAGCGGTCGTTGGTTACGGAACATGCATGATGGCGGGAACGGAAACGAAGGACTGATTGAGAAAATTATTTTAAAACAGATTAAACTGATTGATTAAAAAGAATTAGAAGAATACAGTATAATTTTCGCAATATTACGGATGTCAAAATAATTTTTAAAGAAAATGAAGTCACTAATCTTTTTTTTTAAATTCTTAATTCTGCTGCTCTCAGATGAATTTGTTAAATATTTTTTCAAATTCTTTTTCTTCATAAGCACGTCACCTCTTACGTAAAGTGTTATTAATTTTTATACGGATTAATATTAGAAAAATATTGCTTGTGCAAAATTGTCGTTTTCCTGATCCCTTTTTTGGTTTTTTTTTTGTTTTTTTTTTTGACCTTTTCTTTTAATTTGGAGCTCAAGCCTCGAGGAGAGAAACATGAAGTACAGTTACAAGAAACAATAAATTTATAATTTTAGTTAATTCTATGATTTTTTATTTTTTTTGGCGATCTTTATGTAACTTGTAACTAGTAAATAGTTTCGATCATATTAAACTGCATGAATTTAGAAAGATTACGGGAAATATGAGTGATTTTGATCTTTGAGAGGAATGCATGTTTGGTTGGGAGATATACATATATACTATGCTTATTATTCTCACACACACAGTTGAAGATAGAATAGTATCCCATTAAATTTCACTCACTTTTGTATTTCACTTTGTGTGTTGTTTAAAAAAAGAAAAATAATAAAGAGTAAAAAATACATAGTGATTGAGGTGTATTTTCTTTTCTTAGTTCAAATAGTATTATGATTCTTATTTTGTTGGCATTTTTCATTAGAAAATTTATCTTTTCTTTACAAAATTATGTTTTTACTTTAATGATGATATACGTACACATCAGTTATTATAAATTTCTACTGTTTCTATCATTGTTCTCATTTCAAAAGTTGGTGATTAACATGTAAGGTAAGATGCGTACCATATATCCTTGTTTTCAGATTATACTCCCTCAAATATTCTAAAGTTGCTGCGCAATGAATCAACTTTCCCTAGTAGTTAAAACTTCCCAACAAGAAATAGTAATCCACTCAGTGGACATTATACATCCACAATAAGATCTTTGTTTTATCCTTGGGGTTTTTTATTTTTTATTTTTTGATTTGCCAAAAAAAAAAAAAGGGAGGAGGAAAAGTAAGTAACTTAAATAAGAATACCACCGGTATGTTTGTCGAACTCCATTCCTGTACGCCATTAGAGTATCTCTAGCTAGTACGTATGTAGTTTGAAAGTGTTTGCCTTTAGACATGCACATATTAATTAAGAAAACGAAAATATAATAAATAAAGCGGAAAAAAAAATGAAGAAGAGAAAAATAAAATGTTTTCTTATTCTCTCCATCTCGGTCCATAAATGAGAACCATAGCCGGAATTAAATATGCATGTATCTACAAATTTTTCTCTTTTATCACTCCCGGAGATTAACCAGTTATTATCCATTTCATTTCGATAAATTATTTTGTTATACGAATTTAATTTGGCAAAATAAACCCTTAAAATGTCATGTAGGGAAGAAATCCTAATTTTCATGACAGGAGGGAAACCCAATTTGGTTAATATAAATTTAACATCAAAACATGGAACAAATAAACCAAGAAGAGAAAGGACATGCAATTGTGTTTTATCCTGAAGGGAAGAAAAGAGGATATGTTGTTGCAGATAAGGATGAACATTCATCATTCATACATATCCATCCTTGATGTTGAAGACTAGAGCAAGATAACATAGATCCCCTTTAATTTCCTATTTAGATAAATAATATATATATATTATATATATATAGGTATTACAACATTTTCTTTTTTCAAACAGAAGATGTCACTTTTATTTGTCTCATATGCATCTTCCAGAAAAACAAATCTTTCCGACTTGGAAATGTTGTCGATTTCCACTACTGTTGTGGTTGGAGTTTAACTAATCAACTTCATCACCCAAAGAATCTTCTCACTTCTCTGTGGTGTTTTTGTTAACAACCCTTCAGCCGAAAAGTTAGAGGTTTTACACTGGCCGGTTATAGAGTTGATCATGACTGTATCACTTTTAAATATTAATACGTATTTCATTCCAAAAAATTAGCCCACATCAAATTTTAAAATTTGTACTGTTTTAATTAAATCTTAAAATTAAATTTTTTTTGGGGGACAGTGAAAATATGTACGTAGCTGCTTAGTTTGTTTGTGTTAAACAAAAAAGGAAAAAACAATGACCAAATTGAAAACCTTGTTTCTTTGTAGTGATCTTCCTAGAAACTTGCTGGCCGATTTTTGTTAAGTGTGACATTTGAATTCATTAACTTAGCATGTATATAAATTCAACAACAAAAAAATATTATTCTCTAGAATTAGAAGACTTCTAACTTTTTTTTTATAGATACAGCAATATTGATTGTCAATTTGATAGGGAGAGGGCAAACATGAAAAAAAGTTGGCCGTATAATGTGGATAGGACGTCCCTT